TGTGTTGGTGATAGCAAGAAAATAAATCTCTTTTTAAGAGAGTGTCCATATAGAGAAGCAGATAGCTGGAGGTAAAAAAATTGGATTTTTTTTTTTAATTTGTCAAAATAGCGTGAATAGTGTATACTGAAGGAAAGAATAAGTGGGTGGTGCAGGGAAAAGAGGAGAAACTTGCTTGAGCCCATCAGGAAGTAGCATAGGAAGGGTTCTCTGTCTGCCTCATAGGTTCTAATTGCTGTGTCAGGAGGGCTGCCTGTGAAGTCAGATCACCAGGCTTTGTAGCTTCAAGGAGGCGGAGTCACTGTGGGGCTTGGAGGTTCGAGTTGGTGGTCTGACTGAGCTGCATCTGTGGGCCCGTGCAGCCAGGCATGGTGGTACAGGTGAGAGCGTGGCCTGGAGGGCTCCAAGGTGCAGCCTGGCCAGCGAGGTGTGGAAGGCCCTGGCAAGCGCTCTCTGGAGTTTTCGGAGGTGTGGCCTGGGAGTCCGGGAGGGTCTAGTGAGTGCGGCTTGGAATGCTGGGCGGTGTGGCCTGGCTGGCACCGAGGTCCCTGCGGGGGTTCTGGAGAACCTGAAGCGGCGGCCCCGGGGGTGCGGCCAGTGTGGCGTGAAGGTCGGCGTGTGCAGCCTGGCCTTCCTGTGAGCATGGTTTGGAGGACCTGGTGAGTGTGTCCTGGCGGGCCCTGTGAGCATGGCCTAGAGTGTCACCAAATCAAACTGGACTCATCTACCTGTGCGCCAGGGAAGGCCAAACACCGAAGCGTAGGGGGTTTGCTGGAGAGTGGACCACGAGGAGACAGGAGGAATGTTCAAACCTGTCTACCTAAGCTTGGGGCTGACTCAGGTTTTATAAGCTTAGGGTAATGAGTGCGTTCTGATTGGATCTTGCAATGAGGTGGACACCAGGGCTCTATCTGATTGGATCATGGATCTTGATCTGATTGGATATTGGATCCGGCCCCGCCGTGTGTGCTTCTTAATTCAGTCCCGCTCCTCAGTTCGGTTCGAGCGCTTAGGTTCCGCCCCTGTTGCGAGCTTGGTTCATCGGGTGACATGACCTCAAACTGGGAGCCATGGCTGCCGAAAGACAGCGAACATCTTTGTACACGCAAGAGGATCCAGCTTGGTCGAATGTGGTTCTATTCAGGCTCTGCCAGCGAGTCTTAGGGGGTTCTTCTAGCGGGCAGCCCCGTGGGCTTGGAGCCTGGGGTCAGCAGTGCTGGGAGGCTGAGGCTTGGCCTGTTGGGCACAGGCCTTGGAAGCTGGCTGGGGGCCAGTCCTGCCCGGCCCTTCTCTGGGAGGCCGCGGTTCTCTGTAGTCTCTCACCGATGTCTGCTCTTGGCCGCTGGGCTGCGAGGAATCCTCAGAGGGCTGGGTGCGCGCCCTGCCTGGGATCTGCCAGCAAGGGCTGCAGTGGCTACCCACATGGCTGTGCGGCTGGGTCCCTCTTCCCGCTTCCATGGCCTGTTACAGCGTCCTTTTCAGGATGTGCTCCGTACATTATGAGGGACCCACAGGAGCTCTTGGCACCCTGTATGTGAACAGGACACGAGGTTTGGGACTTGGCCTGTGAAGCTGCCAGGAGATGCCGCATCCCTCTGGCTGCTGCGGCTGATCCCATCCCCCACCCGAACTTATTCCCCTCCCCATTCCCCTCGCCCTGCAGCCCTCTCCGCCTCCTGGGCTTCTCGAGTCTCCCCGGGTCCCTCACGCCTCCTGGACCTCTCGTGCCTCCCTAGGACCCCTTGCCTCCTGGGCTTGTCGCGCCTCCTGGGTGGCGCCTCGCGCCTCCTGCCGCCCCCCACGGCGTCTCCTGCCCCCTCCCCCAACGCCTCTTGGGTCTCTCGAGTCTACCCGGTCCTCTGCGTGTCCCCGCGCCCTTCGAGCCTCCTTGGTCCCCGCGCCTCCCCGCGCCTCCCCGCGCCTCTGCGCCTTCGGGGCTCTGCGCCTACTGCGCTCCGCGCCTACCAAGCCTCCTGTGCCCTCGCCCCGCCCCATCGCTTTTCTTCTCATGCTCCTCCACTCCCCACGCCTTCCTACCCTTGTGCCTCCCTGCTTTTCCCCTCACCACCTGGCGCCCTTCGCGCCCTCCTGCACCATGCACTCTGCATGCCCCGTGCGCCTGCTGCACCCCCCCCCCCCACGCTTTCCGCGTCTTCAGCCCTCGTGCACCCTCAGCTGCGAATCGCCCCAGGCGGGCACCTCGGACGCGGGCACCGCTGAGTCTGCCCCGCCCTGCCCCTGCTCAACGCCTCCCAGACACGCCTACTGCGGGCGGAACTTGGGGAGCTGTCCAGGCATGGGAACTGTCCAGGCCCGCAGGAGCTGTCCAGGCGCACGGGAGCTGTCCAGGCGCGCAAGAGCTGTCCAGGCGCACAGGAGCTGTCCAGGAGCGCAGGAACTGCCCACGGGGCGCTGTCCATGGGGGCACTGTCCTTGGTCCTAGCGCCTCTGCAGGGCTTCTGTGTCCTTTTGGCTGAGCCGAGTTTAAGTCCGAGGGGGAAAGGTTTTAGAAAAGACTCTGGGCGTTGCAGATTGCAAAGGATGATCCTGGCCGACCTTTGCACGTAGGCAGAAGAACCACCGGACCGTCAGCCTAGTGCTGTGGAACAGCCCTGACTTCTGGTCCACTCCTGCCCTTCTTCTGCTCCTGTCCCAAGACTTCAGGTGTATATGGAATTACAGTGATCCATGTGTTAATCCATGGACTAACCTTTTTCCTTTTAAAAATTTAGTTGTTTTGTATAATGTAGTGAGCCCTGTTTTCGACAGAAATCTAGAATCTTGGCGGTAACCACGATCTGACTATTTTACTCTTCTCTCTTTCACTTTCTACTAGAAGTAATCATTAGCCCACTTTTATATTAATTTTTTTTAACTCCGTCTAATTTCCAAAATAAATCTGTGCATATACAACTAGCTTTATTAAAGTGTATATCTTCCTTTGTATAGCTTTTTGGGACCAAAGTCATAACAGCAGTATTACTAAAAATCAACCATATTGTTGTTTTTCATTGTAGTTTATTCCTAGTTTATTGTGTGGACCTGCCAGAGTTAATTGATCCACTCTTCTGTTGATGGGCTTTTGGCTATTTCCAGGTTTTTGCGCTTATGAAGAGCATGAGATATTCTTTCACGTTTTTTGCAGTGCATGTTTCATGTGTGCATAGTTTTCTCTTGTGTGTAGACCTGAGTGGAATAACTAGGTCACAGGGCACACAAGTATTCAATTTTAGGGCATAATGTCCTGCTGACTTAAATAGTTGTTGAACCAGTTAACATATCACTAGCAACACAGGAGAGCTCTGACCCATCTCACCTCTGACACTTGGTATTCAGTTTTTTGCCAGAGGGATGACTGTAAATGGTGTACCATTTTGGTCTTGATTTGAAATTCCTTGATTACCAATAACATTGAACATCTGTTAGCATATTTATTGATGTACATTTTTCTTCAGTTTACTTGATCGTGTTTTGTTCATTTTATATTGGGTTATCTATTACATGTGACCTAGATTAGAATTTTTTCTTTTTATTGGATATTAAAATCCACCGTTATGTAGGTAGGTGTGGGTTTTTCGTTTTCTCTTTTTTCTGGCATGGTGTGTGCTTTCTCAGTCAGAGGTAATTTATCGTCCTTTATTTCCTGGAATTATATATAAAAAATTCTTATTTGTTTGCATGTGAATGTATGTAGAGATTCTTGATGGTGGTTCTTTGCCAGTTCTGTGTTTTTCCCAGTTTATAACTTACTCCATTTTCTTGAAGCTATTTTCTGTTGAGTATGAACCCTTAAATTGAAGAGGTTAACCTTATTAATCTTTTTAGTTTTAAGAAATATTTTCTATGTTAATATTTCTACCGTGACTTGAAGTTTGGATTTTGTTGTTTACATCTTGAATCCATTTAGGCAGAGGTGTCTAATCTTTTGGCTTTCCTGGGCCACACTGGAAGAAGAATGCTGTCTTTGGCCACACATAAAATACACTGACGCTAATGATACATAGTGAGCCCCCCCCTTTCTCTCTCTCTCTTTATTTCTCTCTCTCTCTCTCTTTCTCTCTCTCTCTCACACACACACACACACACACACACACACACAATGCTTTAAGAAAGTTTACAAGTTTGTGTTGGGCTGCATTCAAAGCCATTCCGGACTGTATGTGGCCCAGGTCCGTGGGTTGGACAAGCTTGCATTTAGAGTTGATTTTCGTACCTAGTTCCAGGATAGGGATCAAATTTTATCTTTTTCCATATGGATAAGCATTTTATTTCTAGTTCTGTTTTGTTTATTGAACAACCTCCTCTTTTCCCTGACTATTACTTCTGCCGTAATCAAAGTTTAATTCATACTTGTGTCTCTGTGCTCTCTCTTCTAGTTGATTGGTCTCTTTTCTAGCCTTTGATCAGTTTATTCCTGTGCCAACCCCTATCATGTTGATTTTTATATAGATTTTTAAATTCTGGACTGTTATAGTAATGTCCCAGAGAAACAGAGATGTGGTTACTCTACTTGTGGGCCTTTCTTAGAGAATGTTGATTTTGTAGCATATGTGATGGGAAATATTGACAAATTTCAGTGGCTGAGTTATATATTCTGATTTATATTTTTGAAGATCACACTGGTACAATATGGTTGAGGAAATGGGGCTGGTGAGGGGTGAGACTAGCATGGAGACAGGGGGATGAGTTAGGTGGCCAGTGCTGGAGTGCAGGTAGTAGTTTTAGTGGGAGTAGAGGTGGAGAAATGTGGACAGATTTGAGATGGGTGCACAGCTGTGGACCTTTCTGATGTATAGAATGCAGCAGACAAGGGAAAGATGGCGCTCAATGTAATGTAATGAGGATGCCACTCCTGAGATGGAAAATTCTGGGAAAGGACAGTTTCATAAATTTATAAGCTATCAGATACATTGTAATGCACTTCTTATTTGCTTTCCTTGGAAATAGCTTTCTGGTTATGTATGTTTTATAGCCTGTTCACTCTATTTTCTCTCAAATAGGTGACTATCCTCTGAGAAGTGCAACCAGATCTCTTCTGGAATTCAACACAACAGTGAGCTGTGACCAGCAAGGCACAAATCACAGAGTCCAGAGCAGCATTGCCTTCCTGTGTGGGAAAACCCTGGTGAGTCCACAAAGCCACTTTATGTATTTCTTAAAAAAAAAAAAAAAAAAAAAGTCTGCTTCTTGGTGCTCTGGCTGTAGAGGTATTCCAGGAAGAATCAGTGAGCAAACTTAGAAACACAAATAAGAAAAACCCTACCAAATCACTGTCACCATCAAGAACCAATAAGTAAACAAAGTCTAAACTCGTTACAGCTTTTAAGTAAAACACAGACCACATCTTTCGTAAAACTGCAATTCAAAGTGATTAGTGTGTTAGAAATCAGAGTACTGTTTAATGTTTATTTTGTAGGCATTTTTTTCTCCTAAAACCTCTTTTAGCATTTCATTTTGATAGGCTTTAGGGCATTGTATTTAATTCTTTTTAAAAATATTTTTCTTTCCTCATTTGTGTTAAATTAGAGATACCCACATCTGCTTAGGAGAAGTCTTGGCCCGTGGGTATGGGATTCTCAAGTTTTTTGGATATTACTTGGTGTTTAAAGGGGACATCATGTGTAAATTATTATGATTGTTCTTATATTGTAGGTAATTTGTTGATTTTAATCTTTAGTTTTGTAAAGGAAGTTGCAGTAAATAATTGTTTTAGCTCTTGGGAGAAGGAATTGGTATACAAATTCTACTAATGTTCTTGAATCAGAGTAAGAATCCAGTCTTTAGGAAAATCAGGTTGAGTGAAAGTCTATGGCTACTAAATTGCTTTAAAATATCATTTTAGAGTTTGAGGCTATGACTGTTGCATCTTTAGGTCTACTTTGAAAATGAAACTAATATTGTTAATTTTGGATCAGCCTATGAATTGCATCGCTGTGCATATTGAGATCTTTAAAAAAATAAATCTGTAGCAGCATGAAATGAGAAGATTTATATTTCAGAATAAAATATATCGCTGCTATTTTTAACTTGAACTAATTTCCTTTGTGAATTCTGTGTTCACCATTCCGAAAATAGAACTGTGAAGGATAACTCCCTAGACTTGCATGTGGGAGGGCAGAGGCCAGTGCCTGCTGTGCCCGTGTCATCCTGCGATGCTGTGGTCGACTAGTTTGTCTAGTCAACCTACTCTAATGTCCTTTTCTAATGTCCTCTAGTCCACTCTGGTTGTGGTTAACAGGAGGGGCTGCCTTGGAGACTGGGTGTCTGGTGGGTGTTCTGACTTGGTCAGATGTGGATGTGCTCCTCCTGGGAGCCTTTTCACGGGGAGCGTGAGGTCACGTTTTCTGGCTTTGGTTTGCTGGCATGTGCTTGAGAACATTTGGAGTTTGAAAGGAGAATGACTGAGGATTTCTTCCCATGAACTCACTCACTATGCTCGCATAGCTGAGGCGGTAGAACACTTTTGGATTAGTTACACTAAAATCCCAGCATGATTTTATGAAGCTTTTGTCTCAGAATTTTCAGATTTGGGAACCTCTCAATGACCCCATTTAATTAAAGCAGTTGCATCCCCTGCCCTTCTTGCTGCTGCTTTCTTTGAATTTTAGTAGCCTTTACTGCATTCTAATTTTAAAGAAGAATTTTTAAAAATATGTGGTATGGTAACTTATAATTTTTTTTTTAATAGGGAACTCCTGAATTTGTAACTGCAACAGAGTGTGTGCACTACTTTGAGTGGAGGACCACTGCAGCCTGCAAGAAAGACATATTTAAAGCAAATAAGGAGGTAACATGGGAACTTCAAACTTACGTGCTTATGAAGTATACACTGGGGACCTTTATCTTTCAAATACTGATTCTAATCTTTTGGGGTGAAAATCTTTTTTAGCTTTCAAATTGCATTTGAGCAGATAAACCATGTGAATTTAATTTTTAAAACTTTTCTGAGTCGTTCTTATTTTTAGGACAGGGCATTTAAAATATCATAGGATGTGATTTTTGGTCCAGATTGGAAATAGAATGGCTCATCCATATAGGGCAAGTTAGTTTTTGGTTTCTGGTGCTATGCAGCTCAGTAAACTAAGTGACATGGTTGGACTTGGGCTTAGAGTATTCACTATACCTGCGGGAGAGATCTGTTTCTGACCTTGACTGCTTCATCTTCCTTTGCAACTGGCTTTCCACCTGTGCTGCACCCGCTCTTGGAAGTCTCCTTTACCTGTTTGTATTGTTAAATCTCTCTGTCCCTCTCCGCAGCCTGGGGTTGACTTCTGGCTGCAGTGTGAGTCCAGGCCAGGTGACCCTTAAATTCTTTTCCAGCTCACCTCAGAGACGGGATTGCTAGATTTCTGTTATTGTTATGTCTGCTGCTTGTTATTTGAACCCAGAATTCCTTGGTCAAGATATATATAAACCTACACACACCTATATGTGTTTGTTATGTGCCCCATGATGTTTTGAAATAGGTATACATTGTGGAATGGCTACCTCGGGCTAATTATGTGTGCATTATGTCACATACTTACAGTTTTTGTGTTGTGAGGACACTTAAAATCTACTCTTTTAGTGATATGCAAGAACACATTACGTTGTTATTAACTTGTGGTGTTTAATGGATCTCTCGGGCAGGTCATTCTTGTGGAATAATGAAATGTCCTCTTCCCCAGCGTGGGCACTCTGATGTTGCTCTGCTACTTGATTCTCCCTGGCCCTGGGGAAGATCAGACTGTTTCTTCTGCCACTTCTCCATGCCCACCACCCTAGATCCTAAAGGGAGTTTCCTGTTCTCACCTTGATAACAATCTTAGTTAATTATCTCTATTCTGTTTTTAAGAATTTTCAAAGATTGTAAGGATTCAGGAACTACTGAATGGTTGTAATGAGTAATTTTTACTGGTAGCTTAATACCATGCAGTTTAATAAAGCAAAAGGAAATACTTATTTTTAAAAAATTAATTCAAATTTAATTTTGAATAATAACTCACTAATTTTTTCGAATATGGTCATCTGTAAAGGGAAAAGCAATTTCATATGGAAGTGGAAGTGGAAAAATATTGCCTCCCAGAAAAAGACATAAGGAGCAGTCTATGAAAAATAAAAGTTTAAAGTGGTAAGAATTAAGGCTGATATTTAGAAAGTAGTGTCAAACGTCAACTTTCATTTAAAAACTTAGGTAAAGCTGTTAGATGACATTGTTAGCTGTAGGAAAAGCATCTCAAAGCAGACATCTGTTTCAGGGGTGGGAGTGAGGGTGGGAGTACTGTGTGTTCATTCTCACATTGTTATGAAGAAACACCTGAGGCTGGGTAATTTATAAAGAAAAGAGGTTTAATTGGCTCACTGTTCTGCAAGTTGTACAGGAAGCATGGCAGCATCTGCTTCTGGAGAGGCCTCAGGAAACTTACTGTTTGGCTGGAAGGCAAAAGAGTATCGAACACCTCATGTGGCCAGAGCCCAAGGGAGTGAGTGGGAGGGGGAGGTGCCACCTACTTTTAAATGGCCACATCTCAGAAGAACTCACTGTCATGAGAACAAGCAAGGAGGGGTACGTGGTATCTGCCCCCATGATCCAGTCACCTCCTCAGGCCCCGCCTCCAACGTTGAGGATTACAATTTGACACGAAATTTGGGTGAGGACACACAGTCACGCTTAAGTGTCCATTTGGCCAAATCTGAGTTTGCTTCCTGTGAGAGGTTGGAGGCTGCAACCACAGCGGTGCCCTCTGCTCTCCTGTTAGACCCCAGACCTTTCAGTCCCACAGATATTCTTCTGGGCTCTGATTTTCCGACCTGATCATGATACCCTTTTTTTTTTCTGTTTTATCTGAGTATACCTCTTACCTCACGTTGCTGAATTGGCAGTTGTGTCTTCTACCACCTAGGAAAAAATTGCTTTAAAAATAAATGAATAGCAGTTTGTTTTCTCTGGGTCAGAAATCACCAACTACAGCCCATGGGTCAAAGCCTGCCCTGGCCCTTTTTTGTACAACCCCAGGACTAAGAATGATTTTCACATTTTTACAGGATTGTTACAAAACAAAGAGGAATATGCCACAGGGACCTATGTGACCTACAAAACCCAAAATGTAGATACCATATAGCTCTTCGTTTAAAAAAAAAAAAATGTGTTGATTTGTGTTCTAAATAGTTTTTGGGGTGGGAGTGGGGAGGTATAGTCTGTGGTTTTCTCAAAACGAGGACATTTAATTTCTCTTAGGAGCAGATGGAAGATGCATGAGAAATGTTTGTAATTTGTTCTCTTATCTCTTCAGGTGTAGTTGGCAGCTGGTGCTTTATTCATTGAGTTTTCACTTATTGAGAGCCTATTGTGAGCTAAGCAGTAGGAATTTTGTTAAGTTTTGGATTGCTTTCAGAGAGCCCATAGACTAATGGTGTGGAGGACATATCCATATTCACTAACTCAGTTTTTTTTTTTTTTGCCTTAGGGATAGATTAATTAAATAGAAAGAACTGAAAAGCATGATGACTGCTAAAAATGTAGTGCTGTCACTGTTAGCAAATCTTAATAAAGTATATGCCCTTTTTTCTGTTTTCAGTTTGATTTGATTACACCTTACGGGTGATGGTATGGTAACTTTAAAACATATTAAGGGTTTATTTACTTACAAAACGCTCATTCCCTAAGAAAAAATATCTCAGTTTGGTTTAGTGTCAGTATAGTCTTGCTTTCTACAATGTCTACAGTTTTTACTGATGTCTCATTTATTTATTAGTTTTGCTCTGTCACATTTAGAATGATCTTGATTGGCAAAAATTATGTTAGTTCCAAATAGCACCTTTAAACTTATTGTTATAGTTTGTTCAGTGGATTCTGGTAGGGGCCTGTAAGATAATTATTTTTTTAAAGCATTGTGTAAATATACCTCCTACCATAGTGCCCTTGGGAGCAGGCAAAATTCAGAACTAGCCTGCTGGTAGTCTTACCAGGGTTATAAAAGTAAGATTATTATATAAAAAACAGCATTAACTCAATGTGGGTGTGTTGCAGCTGGCAAACAACCTCGCTCCCCAGGCTGCTAAATTCCTGGTCTTATGAATGTCTCCATTGCTGTGTTTGCCGTAACAGGAAGTGGGAGGACGTTCCGCAGTAGCCTTGACTGTTTTTCCGATGCATACTCCAATCTGTGGAGTGTGGTATGAGGCATGTCTTCTCTTCCTTTTTGGAGTAGGGAGACAGCCAGAAGTTACTACCTGCCCCAAGCAGGGTGCCTGCCAATCTTGCCAACTTGGAATCCTCTAAGTGTCTTGGTGAAATGGAGCTATTTTCAGAGTGAAGAGGTCTTTGACTTTCCCTTCTTGCCATATGCCGTCTTGCTCCCTTGCCATCATAGCCTTTCATTTTGCCGGCTAGAGAGTTGCATCTTTTCTTGCGTCTTAGTGCACTGACTCAGTTCTTGGTTAATGTTTTTGTATAAACTTGCTGGGGATGACAAGCTTTAGATTTGCAGGATAATGGGCACTTCTGGCTTTTTACTGTAACCCAATTATAGTCTGTGGCAATAACTTTCTTTTATTTTCATTGCCTTTCTGTGTCAGGGTGGTTGGTGGTAGGCTTAAGCTCCGTGCGCCGATACCCTCTGAGCACTAGAGGTTCCAGCCTCCTCCATTATTAGTAGAAACACTTAGGTGTCTGAGAAGTATTTTAGGCGACACGCGACTTCGCTTTGAGGATATGGTGCCCCTGAGGCTTGTGAGCAGGTGTAGGTCCTTTGTTCACTCTGTTAGCTCTCCACGAATCTCTGACAGCAGGACTGGGAAAAAGGTTAGTGGATTACAGCATCCATGCAGATTTGATAGCCTATTTCTAAGAGAAATTTGAAAGCTAAATATGAAGCAGTTAACTTTTGTAAATAGACCTATCTGTGAATTGCTTCAGTCTAAAAGATAACATTTTAGGAAATTTATCCATGGAAAATAAGAAAACTGCTTTGAAATGATTGCAGAGAACATGAAATTTTAGAATATTCTTTGGAAGAGGTAGTTAAAATGATGCGTGTATTATTTTGGAAATAAGACTTATAGGGATGTTTCACATAGTCATGGTTCACTTGGTGACCAGGGCCTTTTTCACTGTGGGAGGGTTCATTCTTGGGCTTGAGTTCTTACTGTGATGTGGAAGTTGGGTGCCCCCACTTCATGAAACTGTACCGCAAAGATGTGGCCTCAGAGCCATGGTTTCTGTCCAGGGCAGGGAGTCTTGCAGTCTGGGGCAGTTTCACCATCTGAGCACAGATCCTGATATAGTTTGGATTTTTTCCCTGTCCAAATCTCATGTTGAATTTTAATCTCTAATGTTGGAGGTGGGGCTTGGTGGAAAGTGATGAAATCAAGGGGGTAGTCCCTCATGAATGGTTTAGCACCATCCCCTTGGTGCTGTCCTCATGATTGTGAGTGAATCCTCTTGAGATGTGATTGTTTCAAAGTGTGTGGCATCTCACTTTGCTCCTGCCTTTGCTGGGTGACATGCTTACTCCCACATCACTTTCTGCCATGAGTAAATGCTTCTTGAGGCCTCCCTAGAAGCTGAGCTATGCTCAGCTAGATGACTAGATAAAGAACGCATACACACACACACACACACACACACGTGTGTGCGCGTGCACACACGTATACCTTGGAATACCATTCAGCCATAAGACAAAATGAAATCCTGTGTTTTGCAGTAATATTGATGGAACTTAAGGCCATTATCTTGAGTGAAATAACTTAGTCAAATACCACATACTCTCATTTATAAGTGGGAGCTAAATAATACATACATATGGACATAGTGACTGAAATAATAAATATTGGAGCTTCAGAAAGGTGAGAAGGTGGGACGGTGGTAAGTGATGAGAAATGAGAAATTCCCTAATGGGTACAATATATGGTATTCCAGTGTTGGTTACACTAAAAGCACAGACTTCACTACTGTGTCCTATCCATGTAATACAACTGCACTTGTTCCTCTTAAATCTATGTAAAACAAAGAAAGAGGCGCCCTCTTAAAGTGCAGGGTCTTACCAACTCTAACAATGGACTTTCTTGATGTTTTTAAAAAGACTGTTAGTTCATAGGTATGAGAGACTGGTCATAAATTAGAACCGGGTAAGGATGGATTGAAATACCCAGAGGAGGAACTCATCTTCACAGTTTATGGAACCAATATTTACTGAGCTCTCACTATGTTCTAGGCATCGTCCTTAGCCTTCAGTGACAAACCCATGTCCTCAAGGAGCCCCATTCTAGTGGGGGGAAACTGACAAGTCAACGGATAGCAGTACCTGGTATCATATATCACAGCACTGTAAACAAAAGTGAGGCTGAGTATGGGAGACAGAGAGAAGTGGAGAGTGCTGTTTCAGGTAAAGGTGTCAGAAAAGGCCTCACTACGAGTGGTGTTTCATCAGAGACCTGAATGAAGTAAGGGAAAGGGCCATGTGTATATCTGGGGAAGCACATCTCAGGTAGAGAGGACTTTGAATTTCAGTGGGGCAGAACTGCATCAAGAGGTATGTGTGGCTGCATAGAGTGAGGAGAGGGTAGGGCGGTGAGGGCGGTGTCATGAAGTAGTTTGAATTTCCTTCTCAGTGTAATGGGAAGCTGCTTTGTACAGGGAGATTTAATTCTAAACGGCCAGTCCTGTGCTTGTGGAGACATGGGCTGAGGTAGTAGGGCATTGAAGATAGAACTGGCGGGGGGCAGTGAAGATGCTATTGCAGGCAAGAGATTACGGTACCTTGGACAGGGTGGCAATGGTGGAGGTGGTAAGAAGAGAGTGGATCCAGGATTTAGTCTGAAGGGAGAGCTGGTGAGACTTGCTGCTGGTTGGATGTAGACTGTAAGAGAAAGTGGCAGTGGGGCAGGGGGACCTTAAGGTTTTGCCCAAGTGACTGGTTGAATGATGGTGCCATTTGTTGAGATGAGGAACACGGGGGAAACAGTAGGTTTTGGAGGAGAAATCAAAGGCTCATTTTAAGTATCTTACATTTGAGATGGTTTTGTATACCCAAGTGATGATGATAAACAGCAATAAACAGCCCTTATGCCAGCCAGCCAGGAGCTGTACCTCAAGCTTCATATACATTAGCTCACTCAGGCCTTACAGAAGCCCCATGAAGGAATAACTGCCATTATTCCAGTGTGACATGTAGGGAAGCCGAGGCACAGAGGTTAACTTCATTCATGGTCATGCTAAGTGTTCATGCCAGAGTTTGAACCCCAGGCTTTCTGCTTTGAGTCTGTGCTTATAAACATAGCTTCTGCTATTATTGGCTATGCAAGCCTACAGTTCTGTGGAAAGGTCAAGGCTAGTGACATGAATTTGGGAGTCACTGGCAGACATTTATAACCATGCATGAGGTCACCAAGGGACTGAGCATAGACAGGAAAGAGGGCTGCTCAGTAAGCTGTGGCACACTTTTGCATTTAGAGTCAGTCAGAGGGAAGGCAAGAGGTGTTTCCAGGAGGCTGAGAAAGAGCAGGAAGTGAGGCAGAAGAAAACTAGGAGCCTGTGGATGTGAGCCACAGGAAGAAGGGGTTTCAGATGCGGAATGATCAGTAGCATCCAAAGCCACGAGAGACCATGTAAGGGGAAGGCTGGCACATGAGTGCTGGATGTGTCAGCAGAAATGTTGTGGGTGACCTGGTAAGTGGGGTTTTGAAGGAGTGGGAGACAGCAGGCCGATGTGACTGTGTTCAAGAGAGAAGGGAAGGTCGGAAGAGGAGGAGATGTGTAAGGACAGTTGAAGGATTTTTGCTCTAAGTTGCAGAGACATGAGATGATAGCTGGGGGAAGTAGGGACCCAGAAGGACATTTGTGAGGTAGTCAGTCTTCTGGCATGCTGATGGAGATGATCCAGTGGAGAGGGAAAACCTGGTGATGCAAGTGGGAGGAGACGATTGCAGTCCTCATGTAGGTGAGAAGAGATACTGAAAACACAGAGGAGCGAAGGCATTTATTGACCTTGGCCTGGGTACTTTTGTTATTAGGGGACACCATGGCATGATAGTCCCTAAGGAATGAAGAGCGGTATTGTGTGACATTGGCTATAAACTTTTCTGATTGACCAAGATGTATATTGAAGACTTGTTTTTCTCTTCCTCCCTTTCAGGTGCCATGCTATGCATTTGATACAGAGTTGAAGAAGCATGATCTCAATCCTCTGATCAAGCTTAGTGGTGCCTACTTGGTGGATGACTCTGATCCGGACACTTCTCTATTCATCAATGTTTGTAGAGACATAGGTATGAATCTTTGTGGAGCTGAAGGGGTGATGGTGAGGGATTTCTTATATGGCTTCAATATCTTTGCCCTTCTACCTTTATTTCTCTTTGCATGTCCATGTTACTGATGAGGTCCTCTAAGAAAGCTTTTGTCCCAAAAGATGTTCTCTTTGCACAACCCACCTCTTCTCCCCTAATAGATTCCATGCCTCCTCCCCAACCCTTGCACATTCTGTACAAACTGTTGGTCCGTTCCATGTGGGTGTTCTCTCGGCCAGACACCTTGGGTTTCAAGATTCTATAGTAGTGAGGGTTGGTCTTGTTCTCTGTGTGTGCCCGAATCACTTGGCTCTGAGTCACAGGCTGGGTCAAAAAGAAGAAGGGATGATCAAAGACTTGAGTACTTGATCAGGATGCATATTTTGACCGAAGCTGACTTTTTCCTGACTTTTTCTGTACTTGCCGGAACTGGTGTGAGTAGCTTTAGCATCTTTGATAAATTAACGGAAGGCTGTAAATAAATGCTCTTTATCTAAAAAGGGCCATGAAAAGTTTTACTAAGCCTTTTACTGGCCTTTAGTTGGTTTTGCTAAGCCAGGTTTCTAATACCTGGCTTGATGTTTCCCTCAAGCTCTGTGAATTGTTAAGTCCTGTAGGCCAGGACTTTCCTTCTACAGTGCTAGCCATGAGTAAATTCTGCTAGTGATTAACTAATCAAAAGGTCATTTTTAGTGTTTTTCTTTGGTTTTTATTTCTCAAGTAGTACATAATGCTTTGCCCTTAGAAAAGTTTAGAGAAAATTCTAAAAAACTCAGTATGTGGAAGTCTTGCTGGATAGTAGATGAGGGTTAACTTATAATTATTCTTTAAATTGTACATATACATTATACTATCTTGTTTGTGTATTATTTCTAAACAGTTAAAAACAGTAAATATACCCCATTCTGGGCTCACCAAAAGTAACCAGTGATAACTAGATTTTTTGGGGGGTTAGAGTATTACATCTTTCTTTTGTTCTCCAAGGGTAACTTTTATGGGTCTTTGGAAAAAGACTAATACAGTCTTTGTCATAAAAGGGGTCTGTAACTCAAGTTTGGTTATAAAGTCGATGAGCTGTGGATTATTGATTTCTGAATTAATATGCTATTTTGATTTGGAAAACATTTAGGTTTCTGGTCTTTTAACATTTTGCAGATCATCTAAATTTGCTGGATATTTTCTTATAAAAGTTTTTTCTTTGCAATTTACTGGCAATTGGAGCTGAGCTTGAATGACTTTGATTCATAGGAAAGGTGCCCCAGTTTTGACTGAGACATTCTCCATTCCCCAGAAATTGCCCCAAATCTCAAGCCGAGATTGCATGTGACCCTCAAAACCTCATGGATAGTTTCGGTCTTGCCACCACGAACTTACCTCCTTGCATTCTCAGGGTGCTTACTGTATATTATGCCTTTGGTATACCAAGTGGTTTGTCTGAAATTGAGTCCCCTTGAGGGCAAGGAGCCTGTGGCACAGCAGATACAATAGGTGGAACAAAGCAGCCCATTTGTGAAATTTCATAATTCCACCCTGTGTTTGGAGGGCTTGGGAGTTAAAGATTTGCTTACCTCTTCACTAGCTGGTGCCTCCTTACTGCAGAAGGTAGATAACTCTTCCCATCTTTGATTGATATGGCAGATAAAACTGAAGAGAGGTGAGATTATTCACACACTCATTCGTGGGAAAAGGGTTTTTTGAATCCCTCCTATGCGCTAGGCACTCATCCAGGCACTGAATTATAGCACTGAACACACCACAGTTCCTGTTTTCCTGGAGCTTTAGTTAGATAGGAGAAAAGATGCATAGTAAACAGGTAAATCCCGAAGTATACTATTATGTAAGGTATTGGGTCATGACCATAGAAATGTGTGGTAGAGAGCAACCCAGCTGTAATCATAGCTGTTGCTACTGCCAGTCTCTCAAGCCTGCGTGGTGTTCGGGACATAGTCTCGGTATGTTCTCATCTTTAATCTTCCCGAAGACCTGTGCAGTAGCACGCTGGCAATTGGATAGTTTTGTAGTTAGACCGATGTTATAGGGATAGTAAGTGGTTGATTTAGGATTTGAACCCAGAGCTGTGGTTTCTTTAATCTCCTGATTGTTCCAGTGATCTGTGGAGTGCCTGCATTTTCTAGTCTCTGTAGCTTGAAAGAGGATAATGCTAACATTGTAGCTCAAGCCAGAGGATGGGTACATCTCTTAACTACAAACAACATAATAGCCTGTTTCCTGGACACCTCTTCTATACCCGTGCAGACCCAGTACTTTACATTCCTTCATCCTGAGCTTTGTTTGGGGAGGGTTAGTGGTTTGCCCAAGATTTCAGAATGGTTACTTAGGGAGACTTTTAGGAATTCAATAATTTATTTAAAGGGACCCCAGATCTAAGGGTACATGTGATTACCACTCCTGACACTTAATCTGATTTAATGTAATACGTGATTTTCAGACACACTACGGGACCCAGGTTCACAGCTGCGGGCCTGTCCCCCTGGCACTGCTGCCTGCCTGGTAAGAGGAGACCAGGCGTTCGATGTTGGCCAACCCCAGGAGGGACTGAAGCTGGTGCGCAAGGACAGGTCAGTTGAGGCTGCCACTGCTGTTGGCGTTTTTAATCTCCAGCAAGGACCTGACTTTCAGGGAGCTGCAGGAACATCTTTTGTAGCAGGTCTTGAGATAGTCCCTGCAGTTACTGCTTTGCATGTGCTTGTGAGATCATTGGTCATTGCTGTGAGTCAAATATGCTGGTGTGCTTGATGTCTACTTTCTAATCATTCGTCTCTCACAGCAGTAAAAATACATCTCATGATCCAGTCCATACTACATATCTTCATTTGCCTCACGAAATAATGCCTGTCTTGAGGTGCCTTCTGATATTTTTCATTCTGTGGCACCCGTGAAATTGATTTTGTGTCTCTTGTTTTCTCATCTTGGGAGGGCAAGGGACAGGAGGGACAGTTTGCTGGTGACCTTCACTGAACATGACAGACACCCCCATTCCCAGCGGGAAATGGCATTCCTTTTAATCTGCTGTGCAGTTTACATATGCTCTGGTACTGCCTTTGTAGCTCGACTTGGCAGACATCTGCCTTACCCCAGTGTGTTGCACGTGACCATATACTGAACTTAGATGAAGCATTTACATTTTCTCCCCATTTAGGGGCCTGTGGTAGGCACCTTGTTGTGCTTACTCTACTCTGGAGCTCATGGCATGTCTGGGTGGTTATAGGGTGCACTCTGTCCAAAGAAGTGTCTGCATGTGCACTCTGTCCAAAGAAAATACTTGAGCATAACCTAAGGAGAAAAATGTTTGAAATTTTCTATATGTGTGTCTGTATTAGTTTGCTCAGCCTCCATAAGAAAATATGACAGACTGGGTAGCTTAAACCACAGAAATTTATTTCCTACACAGTCTAGAGGCTGCATGTCTGAAGAAGGTGGCACCAGGGCTGCTTTGTTCTGAGGCCTCTCTCCTTGGCTCGTTAGACGGCCATCTTCTTTTTATGTCTTCACATGGGCTTCCCTCTGTGGGGGTCTGTGTCCTGATCTCCTCTTCGGATAAGGACAAGTCATTTTGGATTGAGGCCCACCCACATGACCTCCTTTTTCCTTGTTTACCTCTTTAAAGGCCCTGTCTCCAAATAGAGTCACATGCTGAGCTGTTGCTTAGGGCTTCAACATACCAATTCTGAGGGGAAACAGTTCAGTCCATAACAGTGTCTTTACGTGATACACTGGCAATTCTTAAAACAAATGAGTGTGAGTGACGATTTAGTAATGTGGGACACTGAGCAAAAGTGTGAGCTTTGCTTGTTGGAAAAGGCAGGTCATCTGTGATGAGCTGTTCTCTAGTGGGCAGCCAGGGGCACTGGGCTCATTCCCCACTGAGTGCAGTAAACCCTGGTGGTGGGGGCTGTGTTGGATCGCGGTTTGGGTGCTGGAAGAGAACCCTAGTTCCGCAACTGCCAGGCAGGTGCTGTGGGGTTAAGACAAAACAAAACTTTGGCTTGCACTTAGGATTTGTTGTATAAAGAGGAATGATTGACTATACTTGTGAGCAAAAATGCACTTGGCTTGCTTGTGTGCTTTTTTTAAAAAAATTAATTTTGTTATCTCACAACATTTTTTTGTTTATTTTACTCAAACGGTGTTTCTTCCTTTCTTTTTTTTAGAAATAATTTTTATATTCCTTTTTTTCTTTCCTTCTTCTGGGACATGAAGCAGATCAAACAGGTTTGCTTTTTCCTTTTTTTAAATGTTTTTGAGACGGGGTCTCACTCTGTTGCCCAGGCTAGAGTGCAGGGGTGCAATCTCAGCTCACTGCAACCTCTGCCTCCCAGGTTCAAATGATTCTCCTGCCTCAGCTCCCTGAGTAGCTGGGATTACAGGTGCACACCACCATGCCCAGCTGATTTTTGTATTTGCAGTAGAGATGGGTTTTGTTATGTTGGTGGTCTCGAATTCTGACCTCAGATGATCCATCCACCTTGGCCTCACAAAGTGTTGGGAGTACAGGCGTGAGCCACTGCACCCAGCCAGCTATTCCTAATATATCATATTTATTTGCTGGTTACTTTATTTGATTTTTAACAAGATAACACTCATTGGAGTTTACTTAAAACTTTTTTTTCAAATGGAAATGAAATGAAATCATTTTATACCATAGCTTCTTTTATCTGTTAATATTTTTTCTGTACCCTCTCCCCCTAAGTGAATGTGCTGGATGCTCAGGGCAACACCTAAATTTGGAGGCACTTTCTACTTTTGTAATGCTTGTCTCTCAATGTGGCTCTCCCAGGCTTGTCCTGAGTTACGCGAGGGAAGAGGCGGGAAAGCTAGACTTCTGTGACGGTCACAGCCCCTCAGTGACTATTACGTTTGTTTGCCCATCGGAGCGCAGAGAGGTAAGTAGCTTGTCTTCTGGTGACTTTAGAGGGGCACACATCGGCCTGGGTTGTGCATGCGAGTGTCTGGGCTTTGCACAGGGTGGGCCTGGATGCAGGAAGCTGGGAGCCATGACGGAGGTACTGGTGGGCTCTCAGGAAAACATGAGCTTCCTGGAATAGCTTCTGTCACATGAGGCTCACTCAGGGAGAGCCGTTTTCATTTTGCCTTTTGCTTTTTTACACCAACCCAGAGGGGCCTCCCATATAGTGGGATGGTGTTTTGTTCTAGTCTCTGTGAGATGATTTTAGGTGGTTCATGGACAGGTATTTTTATTTTTGTAGTTTGGTTGATTTTAGTGAACAGTGGAAAAACGAAGTATAATTTCAGGCCTGTGATTTCTTATGAGGAGCATTTCCCTTCCTGTCTCTTCCCAATCTGCCCCTAAATCCCCCCACCTGTGCCTTTCCCCTGACCCCCATGAAAGGCCGATTTATTGCTGTGCACTCTGCTTTTGATGAAATCTCCAGCAAAGTTGTAAACTCTTTGAATGTGGCTGCTGAGACTTACTTGTCTTTGAGTCTCCAGTGCCTCTTTAAGTGTTTTAACCAGGGGTAGGTGCTGATGGAAAGGAGGTGTCCCCCAGGAAGGAATGGGTAGGGCATGGCTTTCCTTTAGTTTATTTCTGCCTTCTCAGTAGTCTGGCGAAGTAGGGAGGGGCTGAATTCTTTTGCCAGAGAACCACACTCCCCTGCCCCCAAGCAAATGTGGAATGTGCTCTGATGTCAGACTGGCAGCTGGCCTAGTGTGTGTGGGATATGGAGACAGTGCAGGGCTCAGCTTGCTACTTTCTGTCCCCAGCCTTCCACGTCCATGTGCTATCAGCTGAACGAAGGCCTGACTGTCTGATGTTTGTTCTAAATATGAATGGAGAGGAATATTTATTGATACTTTTTATTTGTATCTACAGATGTGAGTTGAAATCTTTTAAGCCTGGTGAGATGTTCTCAGGTGGTAGTGCTTTTAGTGTTTTCCCTTTTTACTTGTTCTGCATTTGGTAAGAATCATTTTATACTATAATAGTCAAGAGAATTACGAGTTTTTCTCCTTTTTCCTCGAAGAGGTATGGGACATTTTTTGGTGTTAGAAGAGGCTGATTTATTATTAGTGGGGCAGGATGTTCCCCCACCAACACACATTTGTTTTTCCTTTTTCTTTTTTTTAAAGACAGGGTCTTACTTTTTCGCCCAGGCTGGAGTGCAGTGGCATGATCTCACCTCACTACAATCTCCGCCTCCCCAGTTCAAGCAGTCCTCCCACTTCAGCCTCCTGAGTAGCTGGGACTATAGGCGTACACCACCATGCCTGGCTGATTTTTATATTTTTAGTAGAGATGGTGTTTTGGCATGTTGGACAGGCTGGTCTTCAGCTCCTGGGCTCAGGTGATCCACCTGCCTCAGCCTCACAAAGTGGTGGGATTACAGTGTGAGCCACCACACCCAGTCAGGTTTCTGTTCAGGCTTCACTGTTCACTGGGCAGACTGTGTGTGGCATGTGCTTGGACTCTGTAATGCTTGGGCAGTTTGTTTAAGCAGTTTCTAATGATTTTAGGAGCTGGTATTTAGTAAACACTTTGTCATATAGATCTTTAAAAAAATGCTTTATCGAATTTGTTGAATTTACATACCATGAAATTCAGTTTTTTTAAAAGTAGAATTCAGTGGTTATTAGTATTTTTTTTTAGAACTGTGCAATCATCATCGCAGTCTAATTTTACATTTCTGTTACCCCAAAAAGAAACCTCAGGCCCATTAGCAGTCTCTTCCCAGTCACATCCCAAGCCCTGGCAACTGTGCACCTTCTTCCTGTCTCTGTGGATTGGCCTTTTTTGAATGTTTTATGTCAGGGGAATCCTGCACGGTGTGGCTTTCTGTGCCTGGCTTCTCTTACGGAGCCTTGGGGTCTGTGTCACTGTGTGTCAGACTGCACTGAGCCAAGGGGGCAGAAGCATCGATTTTGAGTCAGGCAGAAGAGGGTTGGACCAGCAACTCTGCAACTTACTAATTGGGTGCCACCTGTTTGTATACCTGGGACTTAGTGCCTGGTGTATAGCAGGTGCTCAGTGAGTATTTACAGAATGGATGGTGCTGGGAAGCAGCACTGCTGTGCCTGGTGCTAAGCCCAATTAGAAAGACGTGTCTCCCAAGGACAATTAAAAAGATGGCAGTGACTTTCCTGGTGAGCAGGGATCCCATCAACCCCCTTCATGGCTCACGTTGAAGATGAATGGTGGAGCTCCTGTTCTGTAGTAGCAACACAATGGCAGAGTCAGGTTTGTGTCTGGGTGGTGCCCTAGCTTCACCCAGGAGCAGAAGTGGGTACAGATTATGGTGGTGCCAGGACCCCAAAGGGGCTGTGGACCTCATCCCTGGATGTGCACACACATGATGATGTTTGCTCAGTGTCGGGGTTTCACCACTCCAGTTGAGCACCTTGTGGAAAGTGCTGAGTGGACCATGCAGTCTGCATAGCCTATTACTGCTTGCCAACGTCCTAGTGATAGCCACATGCCACTGAGTCTAGGTGCTCACTGGCCGAAGCTTGAGTGTCTCTCTGAAAGTGACCAGAAAGGAAATAGAGTATAAAAAGTAAATGGAGGTGTTACAAGTCACATGGAAAAAAATATGAGTTTAGGAAAATAATTAAGATAAAAGTAACTTTACTGAGTTGTTAGAAGTCAAATAATCTTAATGTGTTACAGGCAATTATTAAAAAACAGATTTAAGAAACAGAAACAGCAAAAATGTAGAAACTTAACAGCCTGTCTTTGAGCTTTTCATAAGTGTGGAAAATCTGCATTTAAGCCGCATGAAACATTTTTTATTTTGCTTCTTTCACATTGTTTCTGATAGGGCACCATTCCCAAACTCACTGCTAAATCCAACTGCCGCTATGAAATTGAGTGGATTACCGAGTATGCCTGCCACAGAGATTACCTGGAAAGTACAACCTGTTCTCTGAGCAGCGAGCAGCAGGATGTCTCCATAGACCTCACACCACTTGCCCAGAGCGGAGGTGAGCAGGTGCCTTCTGCCTCCTGGTGCTGCTTAGGAAGAAGGGGTTGGAGAGAGGGAATGGAAGAGTAGGGGCCGAGTCACTCCATGCATGCTCCTGGGTGGAGAGAGCCATAGTCTGGGCTGGTGTTGCAGAAGTAGGATTCAGGTTTGACTAAGTAAGACTGTAACCTTCTAACGCCCGTTGATATAAAACAAACCTCTTCTTGTTAATATCCTCCTTGTTTCTAGGTTCATACTATATTTCAGATGGGACAGAATATTTGTTTTATTTGAATGTCTGTGGAGAAACTGAAATACAGTTGTGTAATAAAAAACAAGCTGCAGTCTGCCAAGTGAAAAAGAGCAATACCACTCAAGTCAAAGCAGCAGGAAGATACCGGAATCAGACCCTCCGGTACGTCAACAGCCTCTGTGTGATTTTCTTTTTTCCTTGTATTTTTTGGTACAGGATTGTGGTCTGTTGCCCAGGCTAGAGTGCAGTGGTGCCGTCTTGGTGCATTGCAGCCTTGACTTCCTGCCTCAAGTAATTCTTCCACCTCAGCCTCCTGAGTAGCTGGGACTACAGGCACACACTGCCATGCCTGGCTAATGTCTGTGGTTTTTGTAGAGATGGGGTTTTGCCATGTTGCTCAGGGTGATCTTGAATTCCTTGCTTCAGAGATCTTCCCACGTTGGCCTCCCAAAGTGTAGGGATTAGAGGCGCATGCCATGGGACCTGGCCTGCATAATTTTCAGATGAATTTTGTGTATTCTTGTGAAACATAATTCCCTCTCCTCTTCTTCTTTTTTCCATTTTCCATAGGTACAGGAAAATCAGTTATGTCTGCATTCTTTCCTATTAACTTCGGCAAGTTGCCATTTGTCACTAAACAATCAGATGTTTTTCCTGACTTGAGAGTAAGAGTGCTTCTGTTAGAACGGTGTGCTTTATAAACTTTCTGTTTGTACGGCCCCTACTGTAGGAAAATTATTTAATGAGTTTACAGTTGATAGGGCTTTTTTATTTTAAAATTTGTTTTTAAGGAGTTTTGATTTTTTGCTGGCAGTTTGAGAATTTGAAGTACCATCAGCATTATAGAAAATTTTAAACAACTAAAAAAATGCATTTAGTGCATTTCTGTTGACCTTGGTAGTTAACCTTCATAAAAACAGGATGAAGATGCACTTACCTGAAAATGTGTTATGGGCAATTACGATTCCAGAATTAGGAATAGAAAACTAAAACCCCAAAAACTGGTCTTGGAGCTTTTTAAAAACGTGGAATATCTGCCAAAACACTGCATTGTAAACATTTTATTTTTGCTTTTTTCAAGTTGTTCAGGATCAGTATTGTTCCCTCAGGGATGGTTGTGTTCATGGCGGCTGTTACGAAGGCTGATTCTTGGGTGTTACTTATTTTGTACAAAATCTAAAAGTGAGAACAAGAGAAGTCTTCATGCTCACAGCAAAACCTTCAGCTCTTTCTTCCAGCCAGTTACTACTTTGAAGCAAGAGGATGTCAAGCCCATACATTTGGAACTCATTTCCTGTAGATATTTTTTTTCCTAGCGGCTAGAGAGCTTGCTGTTTTATGTCAGTAGTGATTTGTTGGTCTATGCAAAAGACTTACTGCGAACATTTAAAAAGATTCAAGTTTCTTTCTTGGTTCTACCAAACACATTTGTCTCTATTCACCAAAATCTAGGTATTCGGATGGAGACCTCACCTTGATATATTCTGGCGGCGATGAGTGCAGCTCAGGCTTTCAGCGGATGAGCGTCTTAAACTTCGAGTGCAATAAAACTGCAGGTAGGTGTGCACTGGAGTTCAGCCCTTCCTTTTTGCGTTCATGGGCACGTGCTTGTGTGTGTGCACAGGCGTGTTCTTGGAAGTGAACGTCGAATGGAAGAGTCAGATGTCCTTCTTCGGACTGGCCAGTTTTAGCCCCGGACTGAGTTTTCTCTCCTGGAGTAACGCTTTCCCTACCCCCACTGCCCCAGTGGACACACACATCCTGTTTGCATTTTCCTCGGATCTCTCTGCTTGTTTTGGGAATGGGCCCAGCGCTGAGCTTGTTGGGAAAGTTTTCGTCTTGAATTTTGGTGCACACTAAACTAAAGCAAGGACAGATTCAGCAGGGGTGGGATGGCTTGCCAATTTCGATTGAGTGACCGCTTCTTTTATGTAATGAGTATCAAGATTATCCTTTTTGCAAAGTGGTGGCCCTGTGGTAGAGTTTGGATCTGGGGATTGCAAAACAGCACTGGGGACATTGAAGCTGAGGGCATGGCTTTCTCTTGAGTGATGAGAAGCACCTTTGAGTCCCCAAGGCACTGGCATTTCAAAAAGCAGCACCACTGTCCATATCTTGAAGATTGTAGACTCAGTTGTAGCTGTAGAGAAATAATGGGATTCCATCATCATCAGAGACCTGTGTTATCTGTTGACCCCAGGCTGTGACCCCAGGCACCCTGTAGGCCAACCCACTACTGCTCAGAGCACTTGTTCTAGAGCCCAGCCCAGTTTACAGCCCAAGTGCTGCCCTAACCGGAGTGTCTTTCTGGCCCTTGCTTCCGTGTGTTTTGTATGTTTTTCTATGGCAGAGCTTTGGATGGCTTGATCACAGGGTGGGTTCCTACAGCATTCACTGTGGGATGTGGGAGAGGCAGCTGGACATGATGTGAATTGTGCTCTCGAAGCCCATGAAGATCATGTCTGCGGTGGGAGAGACAGTCAGGCACCCCTGCACTGGTGGCACCATGCCCCTGTGAGCATCCTAGCAAGCAAGCAAAGAACCAGCCCAAGCCCAGGCTCTTGCTGGGAAGGCTCTCGAAAATGCCTCAACAACTGCCTGCCCCGGGGTGCCCTTCTTTACAGGTCTGCCATTGCTGTCCTTGTTTTCTGTGTGGCTCTTTTTGTTACTTCCACAATACACACATTTTTTTAGTACGTATTTGCTTAGGCCCTACGAGGCTGGAGGGTGATGTGAGGATAGATGGCTCTCTAGGTGTTCACATACTAGAAGCAGAGAGAGGTAAGGAGCATGATGATGGAAGTTTGGGGCAGTGCATGCCACAGTAGGGCTAGTGCTTCGTGTCGTCACTCTGCTTCTTTACCAGGAGGAAGGCATCAAGGTCAGCTGGCTGGGATTTGGGCTGGGTGCAGGGGTCAGGCAGTTAAGAGAAGAGGAAGTGCTTCTTGAGCCATGCTACATGGGAGCATGCCGGTCCTGTGTTGGGGTGGCTGTAGGTCTTGGGCCTTGAGACATTCAAAGGCATGGAGTGGGGAAGCTGCAAGCAGGTCAGAGGTCACATGCTGGGAATGTGGCTGAAGATGACCCTAGAACGATGAGTGTGCAGGATTGTAAGCAGCTTGTATGTTCTACAGAGGAGCTGGACTATATCTGGAAATCTGTGAAGTCCCAAGGATTTTCAGCAAGGGTGTGACATACATCTGACCTGTGAATGAGAAAATCAGTATGGCCTCTGGATGCACCTCCCATCTGGTCTGAGCATTCCCTGCTTCCCTCAGCTTCTTCATCATTTCTCATCGTTCTCACCTTCTAGCCTACTTAGCCATCTCTGTACTCTGAATCACATCTCCCCTACTCTTAGTCCCCAGTCCCTAGGGTTATAGCCTGGGTCTTCCCCATGTGCCCAGCCCCTCTGGTGCCCGAGCTTGGTTCTGGCTCCCACATCACCCCAGCTGGCTCACCTGGACTTCCTGCTGGCTTGGGCTGCTCTGCTGTGGTCTGAGTCTCCCTCCAACCTTGTGATGCCCTCCTTTGGCCCTGTTCTGTTCAGGGCTTTTTATTAATGACTTGGCTGAGATCTTTGAGAGTGTGCTGATCTCATTTGGGGATGCTGGGAAGACAGAATCATTATCCAAAAAGATCGAAATGGATGAGGAGGATATGAGAAGGGCATTATATTGTCTCAGACTTACAGGGAAGAGGTGTGGACATTGAGGGGCTGCCAGCCAACCAAAGAAAAAGCACAGGAGAGGAAAACCGAAGAATAGGAAGAAAAATAGAAAAAAAGAAGACCCGCAGTGGAGTGGGGAGATCTTGCCTTGTGGGTGTGAGCGTGGATGAGGCCAGATCCTTGGGTCTGATTCCCAGCTGCCCTAGTTTTTAGTTATGAGACCATAAGCAAATTATTTAGCCACCCTAAATGTACAAAATGGTGCTAAAATTGTACCTTTGCCATAGGGTTTTGAGGATCAAATAGATTAATATATAGAATGATATAGTCGTATGTTACTTAACAATAGGGATATGTTCTGAGGAATGTGTCAGGCGATTTTGTCATTGTGTGGACATCATAGAGTGCACTTACACACACCTAGATGGTATAGCCTACTGCACACCTAAGCTATTAGTGGAGCCTATTGCTCCTGGGCTGCAAGTGTGTACAGCATGTGAGTGTACTGAATACTGCAGGCAGTTGTAATATAATGGTAAGTATTTGAGTATCTAAATATAGCTAGACATAGAAAAGGTACAGTAAAAATACAGTATTATAATCTTTTGAGGCCACTGTTGTATATGCGGTCTGGTGTTGACCAAATGTTGTTAGGCAGCATGTGACTATATACAGAAAGTACTTAAACAGAGCCTGTTTTTCTGCAGCTTGCCCTTATACAGCTGAGATGCCGAGCTCAGTGCCTGGCTGAGATTGTGCTGTGGCCGGTTATTAGAATTATAATGATGATAATATTAAAGATTTGGTAGAAATTACAATCGCGGTATCATTTGCTCTTGGTACAGAATCTTCCTTTCCTTTTTCTTAGATCATTACATAGCTCATGACACCAAACCTCAAGGAGGCAGATCGCGTGGTGGGAGGCTCAGACGAGGATTATCAGACTATCAGGGGTGGGAAAAGGAGTGTTGTGCCCACTGCCCCCTAGCTTGGAAAGGCTCAGGGATAGGATTTCCAACAAGGAGCAAGTCAGTAAAGCCTGCGGAGTCTCAGCGTCGGTGGGATGGGGACATGGCCTGTGAAGAGCTGGTTTTCAGACTTAGACCTGAACTGCTCTGGCTGTTGGATGGGAAGCCTGGGGGGCTCACTCTTGGTGGTAGAAGAGGCTTGATTGGAGGAGCAAATTATAGACAGGTGAACTGACGGAGCCACAGAATGCTGGTACTGTAAGGAGGTGTGTCACTAACATTGCGGGGTTGACATAGGACCTTGGCGTGCTTTTGCTGGGAGTGGCTGACCGTAGATGTTTTCCACTCTTGCTTTCACTTTAGGGATGAGCCCCAGAGAACTTGTCTTGTTCAGCGTCACATTGTTAAGTCAGCGGTGCTCTGGGAACTAGAGCTTCATTTCTGTCCTCCTTTCTGTGAGTCCCCAGTGTCACCTAGAGATGTCCAGGAGCCTCTGGGAGCCGACCACAGCCTGGGAGCAGAGGGTTCCACTCACTGCTCTTGCGTTCCTCCCCATTTTATCTTTCTTACACACAGCCTTCTGTCAGCATCTCCCAAGGTGAAAGGCATCCTGCCTGCCACTGAGGGCTTAGGGTTAAACATCTGAAGCTTCATAGAAGCATCTCTCATCTCAGACCCCCATGGTCTCTAACAAATCTGGACCTGAATATTTTAACTGGGCAGTTGGCATTGGTCCTGTTCAGTTTCTTCTTTGCTCCTTATCTGTTCTTCAGTTTGGGTCATGTATGGAGTTTAAATTTCTCCTCTTGAATTGTACAGGTAACGATGGGAAAGGAGCTCCTGTATTCACAGGTGAGGTTGACTGCACCTACTTCTTCACTTGGGACACGAAATATGCCTGTGTTAAAGAGAAGGAAGACCTCCTCTGCGGTGCCACCGATGGGAAGAAGCGCTATGACCTGTCTGCGCTGGCCCGCCATGCAGGTACTGCCCTCCTTGCCATGTGGGTCTCAGACCACGTGTTTAGGGAACATTTTCCCAGGAGTACTTTTGAAATGCTGTTACTATTTTCTTTGTCAATGGACTGGGTCACAGCCCTCCCCCCCCACCCCCATTTTTCATGTAGCTGTATGAATTGTTAGAGGGAGCATTGGGTGGGGAGGTGAAATATCTGAATTTGAGACCAGCATTATTGTTTTCTGGTCAGGTTACCTTGGGCTCATCATAGTTGCATGTAAACTGCCCTGCACCTACACGGTGTCAGGCCTTGTTCTCTGTGTTTAGAAGCTTGCTGGCTTTTTTTTTTTCCCTGTAAAAGTTTTTTTCTCTCTGTAACAGCCTTCCCATATTCTCCCCTAACTCTCAGGCTATATTCTCTCGTAACTCTCAGGCCCACAGGGTGGAGCTGTGGTTCAGTTGCTGTCTTTTGACCTTGAGTTTTCACCTGTTTACACACTGCCTCTCTTCCGTCTCTAAAGTGGGATCTGCAGCCTCTGCCCCAGGATTCTTCTGTTTGGATCCTATAGGCAGAAGGTGTGCCTTGGGCCGCTGTTCAGTGCTGCCCCAGTGTGCAGCAGGCTTGTCCTTGAGACTGAGCTCACTGCTGCACAGCAGGCACTGGAAGAGATGCCCAGGGGGCAGCAGCGCCCCCCAAAGCATATCCCCTGCCCTCGGGGACTTGGAATTTAGCAGGAAACAGAGCAGATGGAATAATAAGAATGGGAGTCTCGAACGGGGATAATCTGATGCGGGCATTGCTGGTTTTACCCTATTGGCAGCTCAAATTAGGTGCAACTGGCCTGGAAGCCAGTTGCCTTCATAAGGCAGAGATGACCTGAAGCAGAAAGAATGACTTGCTTCACGCAGTTACCACCTAGAAGAGTCACAGAACTGCTGGCGGCATGTTCTTGCTCGTAAGTGGTAGTTGAACATTGAGAACATGTGGGCATGGAGGGGAACAGCACACGCCAGGGTCTGTTTAGGGTTGGGGGTGAGGGGAGGGAACTTAGAGGGTGGGTCAGTAGGTGCAGCAAACCACCATGGCACATGCATACCTAGGTAACAAACACGCACGCTCTGCACGTGTATCTCGGTTTTTTTTTTTTTTAAGGAAAAAAAAAAAAAAAGCAGTGGTGACAGGATTGCTGCTGCTGTCTTTTGAGTCCCACCTGGTCTGGAAAATACTAGGTTAGAAAGAGGAATCCCTCTTGCGGAGGGTTTGAGAACCTGCCTCACTGTGAACCGCCTGGGCAGTGAGTGCTGTCAGTGTTGTCGTGGGTAAACACCCTGTGCACTCTTGGGAATGCTGCTGTTGTTAATTCTGGCACATGTGTGCTAGTGAAGACGTTAGTTTTTTGTGAAGCGGAAGAGTTCTAGCCGCAGAGTCCGAGACCTGGCTGACGACTGGTATTGCCGTGTTTGCTTGAGCGAGCTGTTCTCCAGGCCTGAGTTTCTTACAGTAAACCGGGTGGTGCTGTTAGATCCTTAAGTCAACATTTTTTTTTTAAGCATCACTGTGTATAAGAGACAACCTAGGATCTGTGAGATATGGAGAGATACATTTTTTTCAATCTACAGACTTCCTAACATAGCTCTGGTCTCTTGGAATCTGGAATATTTTGTGGCATTTGCATGTAGATAGCCCTAAGGAAATTATGAGGTGAGAGCTGAAACCCTTCCTTACTGCTTGTAATAAGACTATACAGCCCCCCTGGCTCCACCCCAAACTTCCAGTGTTTAGGGCAGGTCCTTGTTCACATGCCTAGTCTTGTATGTTTCTTCAGGCTGTTGACATTGGAATGTACTTCTCCAAATGTACTGTATCACCACTGATGAGTCATGGGGTTTTTGCCTTCCAAACCCTAGTACCCAACCCGCAAAATGTTTCAAATGAGAATGTGTATTTTTATATCTTTACCTCCTCCTTTACACACTTTCCAAGAGCAACTCCTTCAGCGACTGTTTGCGGTGTGGTTTGCTTTTTGTGGCCACGCCCTCGCACTTGCTTGCTGTGCTCCTGACACTCTGTTGGTGCCCCCTCACCTCCTGCAGGCGCCTGATCAGCGTCTGCTCACACTGACCGGCTCACGAACCTTGTGAGTTCAGCGGCCACCCACGGTACCTGCTTGTGTTCTGTGGTACCACGCATCCTGTCCTGTAGTCAGTCTGCAGATGTTTAAGAGGTTGCTGGTTTCTTTTAGCTGCACAGGCCTTCCCAGGGGCTGAGCTGGGTGCATTATCAATGGTGTACCACTCTACCAGGTCCCAGGACACAGGCTGGCTTCTTGATCGGGTTTTCAGTTTCTAATTTTGTACTGTGGGTTTGGGAGAATTTTGCTATTTAGTTCTCTACCCCCAAGTTGGGCGTACTCTTCTGAAGTGGTATTGGGGTGTAGTTTGTCTCTGTCACATTGAATGAGAAGCCTGAGAATCATGGTGAGTTTTTGTGCCTTTAGTCTGCCGGGTTCCAGAACGTGAGTGCTGGGGATTGAGTGACTAAGCGCTTTGGGAGCTTTGGGCCCTTGACCTTTGGCTTAATCACCGTTTGTGACTCATACAGAAATCAGCATTGCTTCTGGCTAAAATACTCCTTTGTTTTGTTACAGAACCAGAGCAGAATTGGGAAGCCGTGGATGGCAGCCAGACAGACACAGAGAAAAAGCATTTTTTCATTAATATCTGTCACAGGGTGCTGCAGGAAGGCAAGGCACGAGGGTGTCCCGAGGACGCGGCAGTGTGCGCAGTGGGTGAGTTGTGCCTGGAGGGAAGATCTAGGTGATGCTTTCCAGGGCGTGTGGCGCTCAGCTGCTTCCAGTTTGGAATGAGTTAGACCATCCTGTGGTCATCTAAGCCTCCTTTTTCTGCATTCACATAAAGAATGGTAAAACATTGTTATTCCTAACTCAAATGTCGGTAACTGCTTGATGCCCTCTGGAGTCCTGAAGTTGGCTGAAACTTCCTGACATGGGCTACAGCCATAACTGGGAACCGAAGGAACCATGTGGAAGATACAATGTCATCTTTTTAGTTTGTAACCTAAAGAATAACATTGCCAGCATTTGTATCCTAGTGATGTTATTTTTTTCAACAACTTTATTGCCTAGAGTTGTTTAAAAGTTATGGCTTAAGGGAAGTGTAATCTCAGCTGTAGCCCTAGTGATCGGAGGGGCTTGTATGCTTTGTTTCCTTGTGCTGTCATTGTTTTGGTCCCATCAGTGTCATGCAGAGACTTCTCAATTATTTGATACAGATATTTAGCACATTCATTTTTGTCATTTATGACTTCACCTTGAAAATGCCAGGCTATGAGAGTAGTGAGAATCTGTTATAAGCATTCAGAAAGGAACTATGAGCCTTGGGTGGATTTTAGGAATTAGCCCAGTATTCAGAATTGCTGATGTGTCTCTCACAGCAGGTTCAGGCATGTCCATGTCTTTACGTAAGATGGACTTTGGAACAGAGTTTTAATCCTTTATAATAAAAAGCAAATGAACCAAGAAGTAAGTGGCCTCCTGCTTGGGTTGCTAAACAGGTTTTGTTAGTTTCTGCTTTGGTCATGAGACACATTCTCACCCTTTGGCTGTGCTTTCAAAATACTTGGTGTCTTGGGGTAGCTAAAGCCCTGACAGTAAGGGACAGTGTCACATTACGGTTGGCGCTGATGCATGTTGCAAGCCATTTGGTCTTTCTTGCCCTGGGAGTTCACGGAACTTTGCTGCTGAGCCTATGGATGACCCTGTAGGACCTTGATATGGCTGTTAACATCTAGTCAAATGTGGCTCTCTAGGGAAACCTATCGACTGCCCTGATGGGTTAGGTAGGCTGGAGAAGGGCTGCACCTGCTGGGTTTGGGCTGATTTATTTCCCTCCCCTCCCTCTCTCCCTCCCTCCCTTTCTTTCTTTTTTTTTTTTTTTTTTAACACATTTTGTCTGCATGATAATTTTTAACCACATCTTCTGCCTTTTTCCCCCTTTCTCTTCCAGATAAGAATGGAAGGAAAAATCTGGGAAAATTTATTTCTTCTCCCATAAAAGAGAAAGGAAACATTCAGCTCTCTTATTCAGATGGTGATGATTGTGGTCATGGCAAGAAAATAAGAACTAATATCACACTTGTGTGCAAGCCAGGTAAAAATTTAAAAAACAAGATGAAATCTTCTACTGGCTTCTGCCAGAGGTCCTGCATTCTTCCTATCTCTCTTCCTCATTGGTCACTGCAAAGGTGATCAGACAGATTGGCATGGTGTTAAGCATTTTGAGTTCGAGAATCTTTGGTAATGGGAAATAGGTCATTTGGATTTTTCCCCCATTCGCTTCCCCAAACCAAACCAGAAATGGAGAAACCAGATTGTGTCAGAAGGGAGTTGTGGGTCTCAGTGCTGCATCCTCTTCCTTGGGACTGATACAGGGCTGAAGTCTTGTGGTTACTTAACTTCCTCCAAAGGGGGAAAAATCATAAATGGTTTAAAACATTGTCCATGATGTCACTACTGAAACATAATGTTAATTTTTACTTTTATTTATAGGTACATGTTGTTTTTACCAAGTCAGAATTTTTATATGTTAACAAATCTTAATGTTTCTCAAAGTGTAGTATTTCGTAAATACTCTTCTATGTTTGACAGTTCTATTAATAATTTTTAGGAACTTCCTTGTTGACGTGGTGTGGTTTTATTTTTTTTAAACATTTTCCTTATTGTTGGATTAACAGGGTTGCTAATTGTGCTCTTATGGATCCTCTCTCTACTTCCCATTGAAATATTTCCTTAGGATAAGTTCCCCACTTGTAGGATAAAGTCAAAAGCTAGGGTCATTTTATTTGTTTTTTTATGGTGAAATATACAACATAATGTAAAATTGACCATCTTAACTGCTTTTAAGTGTGTAGCTTGGTGACATTGTGTAATCACCACCACCGTCCATCTCCAGAACTTTTCACTCTCCCAGACTGGCACTCAGTTCCCTTTCAACATGAGCTCCCCATTCCCTCTCTTTGACTTTGTCTCTGTGGATTTAACCATTTTAGATACCTCATATAGGTGGAATGGTACCATATTTGTAGGGCTGTGTTTTGACCCTTCATGCGTTATACCTCATTTCCCACTGTCCCTTCTAAGTTTACTTCTGGCAGAGTAAGAATGCGGTAAGATTTTTAAGGAATGAATGGGTTAGTGATCCCCATCTCTTTTCCCCATTGACAGGTGATCTAGAAAGTGCACCAGTGTTGAGAACTTCTGGGGACGGCGGTTGCTTTTATGAGTTTGAGTGGCACACAGCTGCTGCCTGTGTGCTGTTTAAGACAGAAGGGGAGAACTGCACGGTCTTTGACTCCCAGGCAGGTATGTGTCTGAGCAGCACCTCTGGTTTAATGTGATTTAGAACCACTTAGGGTTTTTCCTAAATATTCTCTGTGACGGTTTTCAAGGTAACCTGCCTTAGAATTTTATTAATGCTGTTTGAACAAAATTCTGAACATCTGATGTTCGGGGCTTATTTGAGATATTGAAAATACCATCTTAAATTCATTATTGTGGTGGGTTTGCTGAATGCAGAACTTTCCGAACACTGGGAGTAAATTCTGTTTGAAAGGCTTCCACGTGAATTCTAGGCAAGAAACTTCTCTGAGGGAGACCTTACAAAAAGGCCATAATATTGTGCTCATCCTACTGTGAACATGCTGCTTGTTTATTACACCAGCAGTTATGGGCTTTGAATAGGGCTCTAGGCTAACGCAGTAGAAGGGAATGGTGGAGGTGGATCCATCTCTAAGGGAAATGTTAGTAATAGCAGTCCTGGTAGCCTCAAGGGATAGTGTCTCTTCTGCCTCCTCTACCACTTCCTGCCATTGGGAACCTCCTGGGAATAATCTCTCCCTTTCAGACTATGGGGTGAAACCACCCTGTTGACTGTTCTGACTGACCTTCCATACTTTTATTGTTTTCATTCTTCCTTAGGATTTTCTTTTGACTTGTCACCTCTCACAAAGAAAAATGGTGCCTATAAAGTTGAGACAAAGAAGTATGACTTTTATATAAATGTGTGTGGCCCAGTGTCTGTGAGTGCCTGTCAGCCAGACTCAGGAGCCTGCCAGGTGGCAAAAAGGCAAGTAGCTTCTCAGTTCTGGTTCATCGTTAGGCATTATATGCCAACAGATATTTTATTCAGGAATAGGCGTGCTCTCAATGTCATTGCTTTATGACAAGCATTTAAATACTGATGAGACCTGCCTGAAAACTGAAGGATGTTAGGAGCTTAATTTCCCAGAGAAAGAAGCAGGCCACATTTTTGGGAAAGAAGGGTGGGTTGAGGTCATGTCTCACTTCTGTGCATTTTGTACTTCTCAGGTCCTAGATATTTATGTGTGTATTTCTGCATTCTGCATGGCATTAGTTCAGATGAAGTGAGTTGTCTAAACCAGTGGTGCTGAGGGGAGATCCGGGTCCTGGTGTCCCTGCTGCGGTTAGAGACCTTGTGTGGGTTCCTCTGGTCTGAAGCCTGGGCCTAGGCCTGGCGGCTCCCTGTGTCACTCACAGGCCCCTCCTTCAGTATGGCAGCCTTGGAGTGCTTCTGCTCCTCATGTCTTTGCTGAGAGAAACGTGTTTATTTTAGTGATGAGAAGACTTGGAACTTGGGACTGAGTAATGCGAAGCTTTCATATTATGATGGGATGATCCAGCTGAATTACAGAGGCGGCACGCCCTATAACAACGAAAGGCACACGCCGAGAGCTACGCTCATCACCTTTCTTTGTGATCGAGATGTGGGGGTGGGCTTCCCTGAATATCAGGTAGGAATGAATGTCTATTCCTCATTGCGTTCCCTGAGGGTACACATATCCGTGGTAGGCCCCCTCACTTTTTTTTAGATGGAGTCTTGCTCTGTCGCCCAGGCTGGAGTGCAGTGGTATGATCTGGGCTCACTGCAGCCTCTGCCTCCTGTGTTCAAGTGATTCTCCTGCCTCAGCCTCCCAAGTAGCAGGGATTATAGGTGCGCACCACCATGCCTGGATAACTTTTGTATTTTTAGTAGAGACAGGATTTCACCATGTTGGTTAGGCAGGTCTTGAACTCCTGACCTCGTGATCTGCCCCCTTGGCCTCCCAAGGTGCTGGGATAACAGGTGTGAGCCACTGTGCCCAGCCTAGTGGGCCTTTTATTGAGAAGCAGAGCTTGTATCAGTCTGGGTTTCTGGCTAAATCATCACTGTAATTAGATTTGCCAGGGCTCCTAGGCAGTATTAGTTTTTAAGCTGTTTATTTAGTGGGTTGTGCACATCAATAACAGCCCACAAGCTTTTCAATTTTGGGTATGAAACATACAAAAGCATTTAAAAAGTCCTGAATTAACCCCACTTAGCAGAGGCTAAATTTTCATCCCAATTTATTATTCAACAATCTTTCTTTTAATAAAATAGGGAGAGATGGGCAGAGTAAGCTCTTTTTTACACGGTTTCTCATTGGGAACAATGCCCTTGTCCTTTTTTGAATCCTGGTTTATGTCACCTGTCTTTCTCTTTTTGCCATCCCTCCCCCTATTTCTCTGCGGCCATGGATTAGGAAGAGGATAACTCCACCTACAATTTCCGGTGGTATACCAGCTATGCCTGTCCGGAGGAGCCCCTGGAGTGCGTGGTGACCGACCCCTCCACCCTGGAGCAATATGACCTTTCCAGGTGAGGCAGAGTCAGCTGCCCTGTTTTTGGCCTGGTGCAGATGCTGAGGTTGCAGATGTTGCTGGTGAGCATGTGACTGAGCTGATGACAGGGAGTGATGCTGGCTGTGGGGCTGCAGGACCAAGGTGGGGCATTTTTAGCAGAATGAATTCTAATAATGGTCTGGTTGCTTTTCGGATAGCAACCAGTCTTGGCCACAGCAGAGCCTCAGCCTTTAGCGGCATCATTTAAAACAATGACTGTCAGTGCGGAGACACGGGGACAGTGAAGGTCCACGGCATACTGAGTTTAGTGGAGGTTGAGTACAATCCTGGTGCATCGTGAGTCCAGGCAAGCCAGCTTCTTGCAGTGTGATTAGTGGAGCATGTTTTATTTGATATCTTTACTTTCCAACTACATAGAAATCAGTTAGACTGAAATGTGTAAGCTCTTTAAAAGCATATACATTTTGCTTTGAAATTTTAGTCTGGCAAAATCTGAAGGTGGCCTTGGAGGAAACTGGTACGCCATGGACAACGCAGGGGAACATGTCGCATGGAGGAAATACTACATCAATGTGTGTCGGCCTCTGAATCCGGTGCCGGGCTGTGACCGATACGCATCTGCTTGCCAGATGAAATATGAAAAGGATCAAGTGAGTCTGCTTTCACTGCGTAACTCCTTTTCCCTCCTAACTCCATGACTTAGTGGGAGGAGGTGGTTATTTTGGGATACCCAGATCAAAGGGGGCACGGCTGCTTGAGAGAAGCCCTCTGAGCAGGAGTGGGGCCTCCGTGTGAACTCATCTGCCTCCTGTAGGAACAGAAGTGTGTCATACAGGAATCATCCTTCACGTGGAGAATGCTGTGTTGGAGACCTTTGATCACACAAGGGGCAGGGGAAGCACTGAATGTTTATGTCTCGCCTGAATTCGAAAGTGTCTGAGGTGCTTTCAGCAGACACCTGTGAAAAAGAGCTTTGCTTCGAAAAGCTCTTGCTTCTAGATTGATTAGGGGGAGAAACCGGTTTGGGAGAGTGTCTGTGGATGAACTGCATTCAAGCACATGTGCTCTCATTCGCTGCGGTTCGTCACTGGGTTGAATGAAGTCACCGCCAGAACGTTTGCATGTCTCCTGTAGTTGTTGTACATGGTGAATCTTAAAATAGAGATGTCTCTGGAAGTTGGCTTCTGTAAAAATAGCATGTTGGGAATGTACTTTTTTTGGTGTGTGCTAATGGCAGCTTAGAGGTTTTTAAAGGAAGGTGGCAAGTGTATTATGGAGTCCCTGGTTGTGTTTACCTGTGCACATGTGTGTTCTTTATTGGAGCAATGACTTCAGTGTACAGTCAGTCCTCATTATTTACAGACTCTGCATCTCTGAATTTCCCTGCTTGCTGACACTTGTAACTCCAAAATCACCAGGCGTAGTGCTTTCACAGTCATTGTTGGAACGAGTGTAGTGCCCTACAAGTGTGTTCCTGGTTGAAGTTGAACAAGGTGATGCTCTGGCCTCTTATTTCTCTCACTCTGAGATGAGCAGAGGATGGAGAGGGTGAGGCAGTGCAGCGCAGAAACTCCAGCCCTGGTGCTAGTTGGACGGGGTCTGAATTCCAACTCTGGCATCCCACTCAGAGATGCCCCAGAGCTGGAGCTTCCACGCTGCATTACCTTGTAAGGTTGTCCTAAGAGAAGTTTCTTGCCTAGAATTCACACTAAAGCCTTTTCAAACATGGTTTATTCCCGTGTGTTCTGAAAGTTTAGTGAGGTGGCCTTAGGTAAGCCACTTAATACTCCTGAGCCTCATTTTTCCTTTTTAAAGAGAATAGAATCTGTTGTCTTGGGATTTAAGATTATAATCTGTGTGTAATAGGTTTGTTTGCCTGATGCGTAGCCAGTCAGTACGCTGAGATACTGGGGATTACAGCAGAGAAAGAGTTTAATTGTCGGGCAGATGAATGAGGGGATGAGAGGAAACCTCAAATCCATCTCCCCAAGGAGTCTGGGTATAGCGATTTTAAAGGGGTTTGGAGTGGGCCAAGGAGTGGGGATTGTTTATTGGTGGAAGAGTGCAAGGTGAAGTCATGGGATGGGCAGATAAAGAAACTGCATTTGGTTCCTCTGTAGGGGAATCTTCAGAGTGGTCAGTGTCAGCCATTCCACTGAAATTCAGGGATCTGAAGAACATCTTATGCAGTTCTTAAATGAAAGCCTTGTGACTAACGGCAGTGATTCTTTCTATAGCAATAATGGGGATGCAAGTAGTATCTAGTGCTATGTGACTTTCAGTTACAGGCCAGCATGCAGCCTGATTAGTGCTTAATTGCATGCCCGGAACCCAGCGTGCCGTTCTCGTTAACTCTGTGTGAGGATGGTTTCCTATTCCTTATGTAGTAAGGGGATTTCTAGATTTGATAATTTATTGTGTGCTGCAGCTTGAGAGAGTGTAAACGTCACCAATAATGATTCCACTATCTTCAGAGGGAAAAGCCTAACAAGACTGGTTTTCTTGCAGGGCTCCTTCACCGAAGTGGTTTCCATCAGTAACTTGGGAATGGCAAAGTCTGGCCCGGTGGTTGAGGGGCGTGGCAGTCTCCTTCTGGAATACGTGAATGGGTCGGCCTGTACCACCAGCGATGGCAGACGGACCACGTACACCACGAGAATCCATCTTGTCTGCTCCAGGGGGAGGATGGTAAGGCGCTGCTGCTGGCCGGTGATCGTAACTGCTGCGTTTTTTGACTGAGCGTTGCCTGATGTATCTCTTGACAGAAATGAACAGTCTTGGGGTGGATGGCAGAGTTAGGCCAGCCTTAGTTCTGCTTAAGGTCAGTGTGCAGTATATATGTACACAGGCAGGGAGTGATTTGTGCTACCTTCATGGCTGCGGTTTCTGAAGTATAAGCTTCATCTTTTGCTGCGGAGTTTGAGGCTATGGTGTGATGTCTGTTGTTCTTTCTGAGTCACACAGACATTATCTTGCCTCTTAGTTCTTGTGAGTTGATGATCTGAGGATTGTGGGAGTGGAATGAAACTTAGACATAGTTTGGTCCTGTAGGGGCCAAGGGAAAGCTTCCCTTTCACTCTTTGAAATTTCCCTGGAAATCAGCTGTCAACAGGAGAAAAGACATGTAAAATTTTAACATGTATAGCACCGGGGAATAAGTAGCAGGAGAAAGATGACCCAGCAGCCTAAAGCAGCACCGAAGTTACATGCCTTATTTCACAGGGGAGAGAGAGATGGGGGATGCAGACAGTTCTTTGGAGGAGGCAGCAAGTGATTATTAGAAGAAAGAATAGACAGAAATTAACTTGCAAATGATTCTCTTTGGAGCCTGAATGAGGCAGGCGTTATCTTGTGTACAAGTCTGCCCAGGTGTGATTGCTGTCCTCAGTCTTTTTTTCTGGGATAGATAATGAGATTTCTGAGTTTCTTTGGAAAGAAGCCTTTTTTGGTCAGGTAAGGAAATTCCAGAGAAAGTCTCTCCCTGTGCTTGGGGGTGGAGGTAACAACACACGGTTAAAAGGACGACCTTGATTCTCAGGCAGCTTCTCAGCATGTCAGAGCGCTGGTCCTTGGGGTATTGCTTTCTGAGCCCCAGCAGTCCAAACTCCAAAGTCCACAGACAAGGTATCTGAGGCTTGGTGTAGCTTAGGCCTGTGGGTGAACAGTGAGGGCTATATGTATAATACAAAACAGGAATAATAAATTAAGGCTGGGGGCTTGGCATAGTGGCTCAGATCTAACCCAGCACTGTGGAAGGCTGACTTGGGAGGATCACTTGAGGCCAGGAATTGGTGACCAGCCTGGGCAATATAATGAGACCCCATCTACAAAAAATAAGAAAATTTAGTCAAGTGTGGTGGCATATGCATGTAGTCCCAGTTACTCTGGAGGCTGAGGCAGGAGGGTTCCTTGAGCCTAGGAAGTTGAGGATTCAGTGAGCCATGACTGCACTGCTGTCTGGAAGACAAAGTTAGCCCATGTCTTAAAGAAAAATAAAAAAATTGGGAGGCAGAGATGGGAAGATAGTTTGAGCCCAGGAGTTTGAGACCAGCCTTGGCAACCTAGTGAGACCCCCATGTCTACAAAAAAATAAAAAAATTAGCCAAATGTGGTGGTGTGTACCTGTAGTCCCAGCTACTCAGGAGGCTGAGGTGGGAGGATGACTTGGGCCCAGGAGGCAGAGGTTGCAGTAAGCTGAGGATGTGCTACTGTACTGCAGCCCCTGGGTAACAGTGCAAGATCCTGTTTCAAAATAATCGTCATCGTAAAACAAATTAAGGCTAGGAGATAGAGGAGGTGAGTGGGGTTGCTGTTGATCCTGAGTTCCTTAGCCAGGGGAGAACGTCAGACCATGTGGAGTTTGCTCTGCTCTTCTTCCCATGGAAATGCTTTGGGGCCACTTTGTACAGTACCAATTGTTTCTGTTTTTTAATTGGGGTAAATATATATATAACATAAAACTGACGACTCTCACTGTCTTTGGGTTACGTACATTAGGCACGTCTCTCATGTCGTGCATCCATCACCAGTATCTATGTCCAGAACTCTTTTTCTTTTTTTTGAGACAGGGTCTTACTCTGTCACCCACACTAGAGCACAGTGTATGCACTCATTGCTCACTGCATCACTGCAGCCTCGACTTTCTGGCCTCAAGTGATCCTCTCACCTCAGCCTCCTGAGTAGTTGGAACTCAGGTGGAGTTATCTGTAGTTACCAAAATTGTTCTTAAATATTTTATAGAGAGGGGGTCTCCCTATATTGCCCAAGCTGGTCTTTAAACTCCTAGGTTCAAGCAGTCCTCCTGCCTCAGCTTCCTAAAATGCTGGGCTTATAAGTATGAGCCACTACACACAGCCTAGATATTTTTTGATGATCTTAAATCTAATTGCTTTTGTCAGCTGAAGAATGATGAGATTCCTGAATTTGGAAAGGAGAGTTTTGTTTTTCATAAACGGTTGCACCCTACAGGGTGGCAGTTTCTGACAGGCTGGGAAGCATAACCTGAGGCCAGAAACCAGAAACAAGCACTTGGAGGGAGGAAGACTAAGACAGGAATGGATGCTGAGCAGGTTAGCCAAGTATACATATTCAGCAGATTGCAGGGAGGAGCTATGCATATTCACGAAGAGGTGGCACACACGTGCATGGTAGGCTAACATGTGTAGCATGTGTCCCACGTTCATTTTCGGTTGGAGACGTAACATTTAAATGTGTTACAATTAGGCCCTGTATGTCAAAAGGTGAAGCAAAGGACACAAAAGCCCTCTATGTGGAGCCTCTATAGACGGCCAGGACCACCTGGGAATTGTGGTCTCTTATCAGGAGGAAATGCCGGTCAACTGCAGTGTTGTCAGAACCACAGAAAGGATGGACATTGGCAGGCCGCGGTATGATACCAGCAGCGGAGTCTTTCAAACGGGATGGCTTCTGATTAGCACTTAGGGAAGAAGGCCTAGCAGTTAGTGAGGAAAGGGGTGTAATGAGATGTGTCTCCCCTCCAACCCCGTTATGGACAGGAATGCCGTTTTTAAGGTTTCTCTGGGGTCTCCTTGGCCAAGAGTGGGATGTGTTCAGTCAGTTGTGGGGCCAAGGATTTTATTTTTATTTCTTACCTTATTGCCTGTAGTTTTAGGTTTATACCAGGGTTATGTGTTTTTGAGAAATTATCCAATGGTTAGAATTGCGGAGAGAGTAAGCCATGTTCACCATCAGCTACATTATTAATAGTCCCTTGTTAAGTAAGGGTGAGTGGCCGCTTCCTCCAGCCCAACTGAAATGAGACAGGAGGATGCATACTTGCCCTGCAGTGGCCCAGTGGGCACTGTGTCACTCACGTGCCTGGTCCACTTTGTCATTGGCTAACACACTCTTTTCCCTAAGAGATACTTACTTCCTTTAGAGTTGAAGATCTCTGTGATCAGGGAATGCATGACCGGCAGGCTGAGCCTGGCCCGAGCTCTCTGCAGGAGGTATTCTCTTGAGGTTGTGCATACTCTCCTTAGGTTCACCTTGAGCTTGGGCCGCCCACTTCTCTCAGTCGCAGCAAAGATCCAGGTTCCGTGGGGATGTGGCCAGGTTGTCGAGTTCAGCCTGGCAATCTCTGTTCTGGGCGCGTCTGTGCCTGCCCTGCCTGTGGACTGCTCCCTCCCTCTCTGGTTTCTTTTTGCTATTGAGACCCTGGGTAGTTCCAGAAAATTCTTGGACCCTGAATTTTCCAGCTTTTCTGTGATACCTGATTTAGTTTACAGAGTAACTTCACATTGTCATCGTGTCCGTCAGCACTCATATGCGGCCTGCTACACAGCACGGCCCAGGAAGACACTCACTGAAGGAAGAAGGGCCGTGCTCCCAGGTGATTTGTAGTCACAGAACTTTCACAGATTAAAGCTCAGTCACTTTCACAAGCACACTGTGAAGTGGAAGGAGCAGGTGTGTTTTTATTCTACTGCTAGTGTTGGTGAGGCCTAGAGTGGGCAGGGGCTTTCCAGTGTAGGAGCCTGTGAGGGGCAGGGGTGTGGACTCAGTGTTAGTGGCTGTTGTTCCTGAACCCGTGACCCTGGGCAGGTGTCTTTACTTCTTTGTGCCTCAGTTTTCTCATTCATAGGCTATGTTTGTGGGTCACTGTGAGGTGCAGTTGAGAAATGCTAACAAAACTCAGTGCAGTTCTGGTGTGTGATAAACACTCAAGAATCGGCAGCTACCATGTGGTGGTGATGCTCTCACAAAGGTAATGGCTCTCTGGGGGAACTTTTTATGGAAATGTACACATGGAAGGGTATGGAGATGATAACGAGATACAGCTGGGTGAGTTTCTGCAAACTGAACATGGCTGAACAGGACACACATCAAGAAAGAACATGCTACCTCCTAGGAGCCCTCCTGTGCCCCTTCCTGCCACTGCTCAGCACCTTCCTGACCTCTGACAGCGCAGGCCACTGTTGCCTCATCCTGCGCTGATGTTGGTGAATCCCATGTACTGTCACTTTTGTGTATGGATTCTTGCATTCAACTTATTGTGTAGGGTGCTTCTCAGAAGCATATACTTGGATTCAGACCTAGGTTTGGATCCAGATTCTACCATTTACTGCTGGCATGATTTCTATATTTCTTAATATCCAAGTGTAAGAGATTATTTTGCCTTCATAGGGAGAATGAGAACATTAAATTCTAATTAGGTAATGCACATTAAGTGCCTAGCATATGGCTGACTCAACATCCAGCAGATTTTGGCTATTTTTATGTCACAGGCTAGTATTCTTTTGGTTAGATATAGTTCTATGATACTGTTTTGATTTTATCCTGGATTTGCCCTTTCAGAACAGCCACCCCATCTTTTCTCTCAACTGGGAATGTGTGGTCAGTTTCCTGTGGAACACAGAGGCTGCCTGTCCCATCCAGACAATGACGGATACAGACCAGGTATGTGTGCTGTCACCTGGCCTCATGCTGAATGGCCTATTGGACATCTTCAACTCACCCAGTGTCCCAGCTCTGAACTGACCCTGTCCCTGCTTTCTGAATCAGTTACTGTGTTGCATTGACAGTGGGTGTCTGCAGGTCACCCTGAGTTCCTCTCCACCCCCAGCTCCCGGATCCTGGGATAAGAACCAGGTCCCTTAGTCTTAACTCTCTGCTCACTGTAGTTTCCTTCCTTTTGTCTCCATTCCTTTGTTCCTCACATGTGACAGTGGCGTCCTGGTGGGCTCTGGGGCTTCTGCATCACTGGCAGACATCTGACTAGTTGACACCCAAACCATCTTAGTATGTTTTAATGTGACCCTATCCATAGAGCAGAGCCCACAGGTGTTAATGTGATCCTGTCTGTGGGGTGAGGCCTGGCCCTGTGCATAGGGCAGATCCCACAGGTGTTAATGTGATCTTGTCTGTAGGGTGAGGCCTGTGAGTCTCACCGTGGCCCTGTGCGTAGGGCAGATCCCACAGGTGTTAATGTGATCCTGTCTGTAGGGTGAGGCCTATGAGTCTCACCGTGGCCCTGTGCATAGGGCAGATCCCACAGGTGTTAATGTGATCCTGTCTGTAGGGTGAGGCCTGTGAGTCTCACCGTGGCCCTGTGTGTAGGGCAGATCCCACAGGTGTTAATGTGATCCTGTCTGTAGGGTGAGGTCTGTGAGTCTCACCGTGGCCTTGTGCATAGGGCAGAGCCCACAGGTGTTAATGTGCCACTTGAGGCACTCAGTGCCTGCTGTGTTCTCTGGCTCCTCCCGCCCTCTGCCCAAGTCTGTGCTCTCCCCTTGTTGAATGTGCCCTGCAGGCCATAGCAGTAAGCTGCTCAGTGATGTTCTCTCTGACCTCTCCAGGGTAGTGAGTTGTTCACACAGCACTGTGTATATTTCTTTATCGTGGGACCTGTATGCCTCCCTGCTTCCTCTAAGCCACACTGTAGACTCTGGCAGCAGAGACCAGGGCTTTTCCAAACTGTCAGACCCAGCACAGGGTCCTGGCTTTGTAAGTGCTCAGTGAGGGCAGGATGCCAGGCACCCTTATTCATGGACAGTGTTTCTGGGGCTGTGGCCACTGTCCCCGTCTCTGCATTCATTGGACAGAGGAAGGCCCAGAGCAAAGTTAAATTTACCAAGGAGATGAGAGGATATTGTTGGACAGTCACCCAATCATACTTCCCATGACTACCTTAAGTGAATAATTAAGACAGAAAACAGAACATGAGATTTCTTAAGATGTTTATTTTCTTGAAGAAATTAATTTATGGGCCTTATGTTTCCTAGTCTTCTTAGTCAGGGAGGTGCAGTAGCTTTAACATCTTTCAGGTGAATGTAATTTCTGAGTCTGGACTCATACTTGGTATACTTCAGGGTGGTATATTTCAAGAGGCTGCTGAGTACACGTAGGGCTACATTTTTGATTGGGATTTTGAAAGTAAGTGGAGAAGCAGCTTTGTCGGGTGCATACATGCAGGTGTCTGGAGGTGCTGGGTGTTTGTCATGTTCCTGTGGAATTGCTTTGAATGCGCCTCTTTTTCCCCATTTTGTTTCCTGTAGGCTTGCTCTATAAGGGATCCCAACAGTGGGTTTGTGTTTAATCTTAACCCGCTGAACAGTTCACAAGGATATGTGGTCTCCAGCATTGGGAAGACTTTTGTGGTAAGAGCAATGTGATGAATTTCCAGTTTGCTTTGAAACAAGGAGAGAGTCACTTGCACCAGGTGATTCAGGAGACAGAATTTCCCAGGGCACCGGTGACAGCTTTCGCTCAGAAGGCGATAGGAAAATCCAGGTTTAAGGGAAGAATGGAGTAAAACCATTTACCACTGTTCTGGTACAGTTCAGACATGAAGACTGTTATTCTTCAAATAATAAGTTCTCTTTAAGGAAACACTTTCTGTATGTAGTCCTGGAGCCTGTACTCGTCCCTCGGTCTCTCCTTACTGTGTCATCACACCAGAGAGTACAAATGACTTCATTTTTGCAATTATAATTTTAATGGGATGATACCAACATTTTTAAGACATATAGGATACTGCTTTGTATTTACTTGTAATTAACATGATTTCAATGATTTGTACTTTCTGATAATTGAAAATGTTACAACATTATGACTCCTGTGTCTTCCCTCCCTTACGTATGGTACATTATTAAATGCAATAGATCTTACGCATTGATAGATCCAGGGCTATATAAGTAAAATGATGGATGTACTAAACCTTAGAGGCAGTTTATAGATACTGCTCTTAGGACTTACGTACTAACTGTACTAACACGCTGGAAGGTGGGAAGTCGGTAAGATGACTAGCAAATAACAAACGTTTGACCCAGTGGGATTTGGAGTTGCTGGGGTTCTTGTCGGTGGTGAGATGCATAGTACAAACTCGTTCGGCTCTTACTGTCTGACCTGCAGTTTAATGTCTGTGGCACAATGCCCGTCTGTGGGACCGTCCTGGGAAAACCTGCTTCTGGCTGTGAGGCAGAAACTCAAATTGAAGAGCTAAAGAATCTGCGGCCAGAAAGGCCAGTTGGAGTTGAGAAAAGCCTCCAGCTGTCCACCGAGGGCTTCATCACTCTGACCTACACAGGGCCTCTCTCTGGCAAAGGTGAGCTCAGAGCCGTGCTGTTTTTGGAGCTAAAAAGGGCCCCGGTGGTTTTGTGGCTGGCCGTGCACCTTTCTGAGTGTAGGATGTGGACACTTCCGCCACCTGGGCTGTGCTGTCCACCTTGCTGCTGGAGCCACCAGATTGGTCTTCCTGCATTTGACCTCACAGAATACAGGAGTCCCATTGTCCATGGGTTCACTTTGTGTGGTCTTACATGGTCTGAAAATAATAAGGTATTTTGAAAGAAAGAATGAGAGACCACATTCACGTAATTTTTATTACAGTGTATCGTTACTGTTGTTCTGTTTTATTGTTAGTCTCTTGCTGTGCCTAACTTACAAATTAAACTTCATTCTTGGTTGGTGTGTACAGGAAGCAGCATAGTATGTAGAGGGTTCTCAATTTCAGGCATCCACTGTGGGTCTCAGAACATATCCCCCTGCAGATAAGGGGGCCTGCTGTAGCCTGTATTCAACACAGCAGTCAGAGTGATGTTTCTGAAATGTCACATAATGTCACTTCCCAGCTCAGAGCCCTCGGAGGCTCTGCACTACACCTAGAGTACAAGGCAGCATCCACAGTATGGCCATGGGGCACCCATGGGGGCTCTCTGAGACAGTTAGCCCCTCCTCTTCCCGCAGTCTGCTGGCCTCCCTGTTTCTGTTATGAATGAAGCGCACTCTCCCTCACCCTCCCCTCCCGAGTCTTTGTACTTGCTGCTTGCTCTGCAACCAGCACAGCTGCGGGCAGGGGTTTTCTTCTGCTTCATTCATTCCTGTATGTGGTAGGAACTTAGTATTTTTTGAGTAAACCAACAAATTAGAGTGACGTTATCTTCTAATGCTTAGATTGATAAACTCATGTGGGATTTAAATATTTTCTGGAAGAGTAGGAATGCCAAGATGTTAGGCTCATGGTATAAACCTGTCACAACACAGGCCACTGTTGCAGTGAGAGTGGCCACTCTGTTCATGTCGAGTCCCCTGTAGCAGACCTGGTGCCCCGTGTCATTGTTCTCATGAATGGCTGCAAAGCTTGTTGCCAGTGGTGGCCCTGTCCTGTTGCTGACTTTATTTGTGGGCTGCGTCATGAATACTGTGCTGTTTCTTAAATCTGGGCCTTCTTGCTCTCCAGGGACTGCTGATGCTTTTATCATCCGCTTCGTTTGCAATGATGATGTTTACCCAGGGAACCCCAAATTCCTGCATCAAGACATCGACTCTGGGCAAGGGATCCGAAACACTTACTTTGAGTTTCAAACTGCATTGGCCTGTGTTCCTTCTCCAGTAGACTGCCAAGTGACTGGTAAGGCCGTGTAGCAAGAGTCAGCATGTGTGTGTGAGTGGATAGGGAGGTGTGTTTCTGTGTGTGTGTATTTTTGTGTGCATGGTGTGTGTGCTTGGTTTTGCAAGCAGCATGACATTTCTGTCACATACTTCCTTCGAATGATGCTTAGAGTTGTAATATTTTTCTTGAAGAGAATCTGACTCTATAGTTAATGGTTTTAAACCAGCTTTTGGGATCAGATGCATCTTAAGAACAGAGAAGAACACGCAGAGGAAACAAATTTCACAAACACTGTCAGAGCTTCTTATTTGAGGATGAAAAAAGAAAAAGATATTAAAACTCCCTAAGCTGTGCCCTGGAAGCTGACAGAGCATGCAGGAGCCCTCGACCTCTGGGGTTGGCCCTGCCACCTCTGCAGCAGTGGTAGTTCCTTGTCAAGGGCAGTGAAGGTTTAAATATTTGTTTGTTTGATTGTTTTTTTAAAGAGTCTTTAGGGTCTTACTATGTTGTCAGGCTGGCCTTGAACTCCTGGTCCTAAGTGATCCTCCTGCCTCAGCCTCTGGAGTATCTGGGACTATGGGTGCATGCCACCATACCTGGCTGTGAAGGGCCGTTTTGAGGGATAGAGGGGGTGTGTTTCTATAGGCAAAGCCTCTCTGCCTCCTGTGGATTTCCTTATTCCTCACAGTTAGCAATGCCAGGTTCATGCCCCACAGTGTTTACTTAGGGTGAAAGGCAGTTCTTGAGAGCTCACAAGGAGGCAGAGTTCTCCAGCTTGATTTTTCATTGTCTTTCAGACCTGGCTGGAAATGAGTACGACCTGAGTGGCTTAAGCACAGTCAGGAAGCCTTGGACAGCTGTTGACACCTCTGTCGATGGGAGAAAGAGGACTTTCTATTTGAGCGTTTGCAATCCTCTCCCTTACATTCCTGGATGCCATGGTGAGTTCTGTTTGGTCTCTTGATCAGCGTCTGTTCATACTGTTCGAGCGTTTGACTCAAGGTCATCTCCTTCTGTATGCCCAAGCTACGTATTCTGTTCTTCCAGGCAGCTCACTGGGGTCTTGCTTAGTGTCAGAAGACAATAGCTGGAACCTGGGTGTGGTGCAGATGAGCCCCCAAGTTGCAGCGAATGGATCTTTGAGCATCGTGTATGTCAACGGTGACAAATGTGGGAGCCAGCGCTACTCCACCAGGATCACGTTTGAGTGTGCTCAGATATCGGTGTGTGTACAGACCAGCAGTGAGATCTTGTCCCTGGGTCACTCCATTTCCCATTTCCCTTTCATCTCAGAATCTTCTATCCTGTGTGAAACTTGCCCGTGTTTTCATGGAATTTCAGCCAGTGCTAAGGTTTGACGAGAATACACTCATTTCTTCAGGTCTTAAATGTTTAATAAATGCTGTGTATTTTGCGCATGGAGGTCAAAGATTGGGTACTAATAATGGCTATCATTTGAGTAATTTTAAAAATAAACAGGAAACAAATCAGGCTGCTGGTTTGTATTACAGGGCTCACCAGCATTTCAGCTTCAGGATGTCTGTGAGTACGTGTTTATCTGGAGAACTGTGGAAGCCTGCCCCATTGTCAGAGTGGAAGGTAGGACTGGGCCTGTCTCTCACGGTCATTGTAGATGTATAGAGTAGCAGACATTCTGAACGATGCCTTTGATGTGAGACCGTGTGATAACGGCCTCAGCTGGGGTCATGAAAAACATGCTAGGGGGTGGATAGTTTCTTATCCTTGAGCTTTTTTTACCCAGGTACATTGCTAATTTTACCAGTGCCATTTTCCTTACGCGCCTGGATCAGTGGGATTTTGGCATCTGACACTTGAAGACACTAATGTGGGGTTTGGTTTTGTGGTGTTTGATGAAGCAGGTCTTTATTCTGGGACCTAGACTTTTCTAGAAAGCTGTTTGCCAGGCGAGTTGTATTATATATAATGGCTTTTAATGCCCATTTATCGTTGGTATTTACCTAATCAACCATTGTAAAGCGTTTTGCTCGAAAACATGAATGCGTGTGTGGTCACAGTTGCCCCTCACTTCTTCCATGTTCTTGAAGGAGACAACTGTGAGGTGAAAGACCCGAGGCATGGCAGCTTGTATGACCTGAAGCCCCTGGGCCTCAACGACACCATCGTGCCTGCTGGTGAATATACCTACTACTTCCGGGTCTGTGGGAAGCTCTCCTCAGACGTCTGTCTCACGAGTGACAAGACCAAGGTCGTCTCCTCATGCCAGGAAAAGCGGGACCCTCTGGGATTTCACAAAGTGGCAGGTACCATCGTTTGTCCTTTTCCTTTTGTTGCAAAAGAATGGAATTAAAATATTAAAATACTTTGCTAAAGATGAATTTTTTCTTGAGTCAAAAATGTGAGTATTCTACTGTAAAAAAACAGAAACATATTAATGATATTTGGATTTTGCTTGATTTTCTTAATCAGAGTACATGCTGAAGGATGTGGGTAGAGCGTATCTATTTTCTCAGCCGTGCCAGTTACCGACACTAAGATCACATTTCTCTTCTTTATTACAATGTTGGGACACAGTGAGGTAGCCAGTGATGGATATTCTGAGGTAGTACTTGATAGAATTCAGTCAGAGGGAATGCATTTAGTATGAGGTTTGGCTATAAAATTGTAGGGCAGGCTGTTGGTCATTCATGCTGTTTCAGCAGTTGAGCAAGATTTAAATATATTTAGGAACCTGTAAAAATGAAGTTGAAGTAGCCGGTGGTGAGTGGTAAATGGACAGCCCTCAGGCACAGTGGAGAAAGTGACATTCCCTTAGGTGATGAGGCTAAGGAATGCCACGGGTCAGTCTGTGACGCCGGAGCAGCCTTGGACAGGAGGAAGCGTGAGTTTATTCCCAAGTGTAATATGACAGGGAGTGCATGGTACGGTGCCAGGAGGCCAGAGAAACTTTGTCTGGCACCCTTCAGGACGTGTGGCATCACATGTCTTCAGCTAAGTTTGGCAGCCTCGGGAACTGAAACAAACCTTATTTAACATCCTCCTTCTTTACAGGTCTCCTGACTCAAAAGCTAACTTATGAGAATGGCTTGTTAAAAATGAACTTCACTGGGGGGGACACTTGCCATAAGGTTTATCAGCGCTCCACAGCCATCTTCTTCTACTGCGACCGCAGCACCCAGCAGGTGAGTGAGCTCTGATGGCCCTCCGCGGGGTCTTCTCCTACCCTCAGGCTGCTGGGATCATACTAGAAAGAATCTGTCCTCAGATCTCATAAAATCTTCTGGTCAAGCGAGTTTAAAATATACAGTTTACAGAAAATATGTTGAAGCTTTCATCATTTAGTATTGATTTTTATGAACATCGCCATTCTTTACTATTTGTATTCTTTAAACTCAAAGCATAAACTAAAGTTTCACATTCTCACTTTTATATATGTGCATCTTAACTTTTTTAGCCAGTATTTCTAAAGGAGACTTCAGATTGTTCCTACTTGTTTGAGTGGCGAACGCAGTATGCCTGCCCACCTTTCGATCTGACTGAGTGTTCATTCAAGTAAGTCGATGGATATGTTGTCTCTTTTGGACAGACTGACTTGGTATGATTTTGCTTTAATAATTAGTGGTCTGAGAGACAGGGATAAGATTAGTTGTTTTACCTAGGACTAGGTTTGCTACTATTAAAATGAGGAGTCGGGCTAGGTTAACTCTCAGCCCCGTCACCACCTTGAGCTGCTGTGGTGCCTGTGCGTGGGGAGGGGATTGGAGGCAAGGCAGAGAGTGGATGCCTGGCACGCTCGCGCGAGCCACACGTCAGTGAGCAAAGTGGGCCAGGAGTGGTGTGGTGGCCCCTGTGATGAAGGGAGGTCTTCGTTGCATATGATCGTCCTCAGAGCTGCTCTCACAGCTTTGCCAGATCGACCTCTGGACACCTTGGGTCCTATCCTTGGAGATTTTGGTTTTGTAGGTCTGCGGTTCTGTTTTTTGGAGGGATGCCCTAGCAGTTCCACCATGTGAGAGACCGAGTACGAGCCATTTGGTCACCACTGACTTTCCTGGGGAAAGTTGATTCTGTTTCCTTCCAGCCTTTGTCCTGTTGTCCATCTGTTATTTATATAGGTGAAATCATCACTGAAATTTTAGTAACATATGTAAATTCAGACATTTAGTAATTTATGTTCAGTGACCTTAAATCATAATTTTAGTATCTTTACATTTCCAATTAACATTTTGTCAATATTTTCATTTGAAATTTGTTTCTCATTTCTAGTGGATGTGAATTGTTCTCTGTCGATATCCCTGGTTCACTTAGCATTCTTTTTCTGCCATTTGAGGCTGACTTCCGTTTTCTAATATTTATATACAAGGGATAAAATTTTGATTTTCTTTGCACATAAAGCTTTTTTCCTAAAGATACACACACACACACACACACACACACACACGTATGACACACACACACACACACACACACGTATGAATGTATGTATGTATTTTTTTTTTGAGACTCTGTCACCCAGGATGCAGTGCAGTTGCATGATCTTGGTTCACTGCAACCTCCACCTCCCTTGTTCAAGCAATTATTCTGCCTCAGCATCCCTAGCACCTGGGATGATAGGCACCACCATGCCTGGCTAATTTTTCTATTTTTAGTAGAGATGGGGTTTCACCCTGTTGGCCAGGCTGGTCTTGAACTCTTGACCTCAGGTGATCCTCCCACCTTGGCCTCCCAAAGTGCTGGGATTACAGGCGTGAGCCACTGTGCTTAGCCTTCCTAAAGATATTTTTATGCTAAGTTTTTAAAAGTTGAATTAAGTCAGAGGAGAATTTTGTAATTCTTATAATAAAAGTTAATACTTGTCTACTGTAATTAATTGAGAGTCCAAAAATACTAATATATGAAATAAAATTACGCACCTCACCTCTTCCTCCCCTACCCCTGGCTTCATTCCACTTTTACCATTTCTTCTCGTTCTTTTTAGAACCTTCTGTAACTCTAAACCTCTGTTTGTCAGCTTCTATTGGTGTCTGTTGACTCTGTTTTAAAAGATGAAAGATGTCTTTCACTGCTGCTGTTCTTGTTTCCTCACTCCTGTGCCCTAGCTTCATTAATTCTATTTTTAGTTCTTCTTTTTTTTCTGAGATGGAGTTTCGCTCATTACCCAGGCTGGAGTGCAGTGGTGCGATCTCGGTTCACTGCAACCTCCGCCTCCTGGGTTCAGGCAATTCACCTGCCTCAGCCTCCTGAGTAGCTGGGATTACAGGCACGCGCCACCATGCCCAGCTAATTTTTTGTATTTTTAGTAGAGATGGGGTTTCACCATGTTGACCAGGATGGTCTCGATCTCTAGACCTTGTGATCCACCCGCCTCGGCCTCCCAAAGTGCTGGGATTACAGGCTTGAGCCACCGCGCCCGGCCCTATTTTTATTTCTTCTATTGAATGCTTTTGGAGCCGGTGGTGATACACACTAAATTCTGTTCTTGCCCAGTCACCTTTAGGCAGCCTTCCCTTCCTGCTGCCTGCCCTGGTCCGGGCACTCCTCCTCTTGTGCCTGCAGTGCTGCAGTCACCACTCCAGGGTCTCCCTGCCACACCCCTTGTCACGTGTTTGGTTAGTCCCTCCCAGTAATTAGAGCGATCCTCTTGAGATATAAGTCCCACCATGTCGCTCTTGCTGAACCCTCCAGCACAGCGAGCTGTGCTGTTTAATACAGTACCCTCAGCTTAGCATATCGTTTTTGAATGAATGAATCTCATGTGGACCCACGGGCTGAAGTTCTTAGTCCGACGGATGTAACCCCCATGTTATCTCTAGCCTCACTTTCACTCTGTTCCAGCCACAAGGGGCTTCTGCCGTTCTTAGGCCATGCTGGGCTCGGGTCCCCTTCTTGGTCGCGCCTTCTCTGGCTCCTCTGTCTAAAATTTCAACAGCTCCTTTCCTCTACCCCTCAAACTTCATATCCCACTCATCTGCCTTTTCTTCTTCAACTCTTTATTTCCATCAAATATACTATGTATTTTTAAAAATCTGTCTCGTTCCTGGTCATTTTCTTTCACGGGTAATTTCTGTAACTTTGTAAGATTAGTGATGTTTATCTGTTTTGTTTAATACAGTACCCTCAGCTTAGCACATCGTTTTTGAATGAATGAATTTTCATTCCCCTCTGAGGTGCTAGGAGCTGCCGCTGAAGGGGCATCTGTAGGTGCTCCTATCCCTGCTCCACAATGGCAAAGTGTGTGTCTCACTCACGGTTATTACTGCGCCTGGCATGGGGTTGGTTCCCAGTTATTGTCTGTATTTGGGATTTCTGTAGTTAGGGAACCTTCAGCCTGCACAGAGAAGTCAAGCCCATTTCGATTTCAGTAACCAGCAGCCTTGGGTTTAAACAGCAGGTGGCCTGTCTGGCCACCCTGAATGTGGCCCCTGCTGTGTGTGCTCAGAGCATCTTGGCTTCCCACCTTTGTCACCAGCAAGTTCCACTTCTTGGTGGCCTGAGCAGACAGCACTTACTTTGCAGACTTGTGTTTTTCTGTTAAAATTAAAATTTTTTTTAAGTGAGTCTAATAGTTTTCTGAACTGAAAGTTATGTTGTTGCTGATTCTGATTGTGTGTGTGTGTGTGTGTGAGAGAGAGATAGAGAGAGAGAAGGGTCGAGTCTAAAGTTCTGTCAGGGTTAGGCTATGTTTGAATACTTGAACCTTTCTAGATAGAGTGCTCAGTGTTTAATTAGAATCCAGCTGAGCCTAACTAACTGCAGTGTTTTCTTTTCAGAGATGGGGCTGGCAACTCCTTTGACCTCTCATCCCTGTCAAGGTATAGTGACAACTGGGAAGCCATCACCGGGACGGGGGCCCCAGAGCACTACCTCATCAATGTCTGCAAGTCTCTGTCCCCGCAGGCCGGCACTGGTGAGAGAGGGCCTCCTCATAGGGTGGTGGTTGTAGTGAGTGTATCACAGGCTGGCACTGGTGAGAGAGGGCCTCCTCATGGGGTGGTGGCTTGTCATGAGTTTATCAAGGAGGATCAAGTAGAATGGGAATTCTTTGGAGGCACTTTAGTCTCTGCAGCATGGAAGTGGTTTGGCCAAGAAGCAGCAGGAGGAAGAATGATTTAAGGGTCTTACCTATTGACCCCTAATATTGCCCAGGATAAATAGTGCTGAGGACTGCTGGGAACATGATAACCCTTTGTGAACACGAGGAGCTGGAGGTATAATAGATGGAAATAATAACCTTCTTAGCAGGTTGGAGATGGGAGGTGTGACGTGGAGGGCCTGGTATGTGCCTGCACGTGGTGAGGGTTGTATGGTCCGTCCTTTTGTGATGAGGGACCCCTCACTTAAACCTGCAGTGCTTGGCTGAGACTGGATATCAGGTGCACGTGTGAAACCAAGGGCGTCTCCAGGGATCTTAGTACCACTCATGGCCCCTAGGAATCCTGAAGATGAAACTCATCCCCTGTTCGTGGGGTTTCATACAGCCCCACTTACATCTTGTGTGGCTCACCTCAAAGGGGGTGTAGTTATTTTTAGCTGCAGAAGCTGGTTCCATCTTCGGCTGGTTTGAGGCTGTGGGTCCACTTCCCCTTGCTGTGTTGTGCTGCGCAGACTCTGACACAACCGCTCCACCCCTGTGGCTTGGGACTAGTTCTTCACCCAGGGCACATGGCACAGCCATTTCAGGGACTGAGAAATGGGCAGAGTTCTCGGTAATTTCTTGAATAATGAAGGTGCGTGGATGTAGGCCATTTAAAGTGTTCCTCTGGTTTAATTTGGGAATATGGGCTTCATCCTAAATGGGGTTCAGAAAGAATTTCGGCTGTTGTGGCCTGGCTATCCCTCCATACCTCACATCCGCCTGCCCCAGTCCATCTGTGGCCAAACAGCACCCAAGTGAGTAAGAACTAATGTGATGTCATTGTCATCTGACTTAACATGAAAGAAATAGCAGATATTTTGGAGTGATTTTTAGAAAGCATATGAAGTTCCGTAGCATGTGTGACATTTCTTGCCTGATGAAGTTGTGTTCTAGCCTGGGGAGTCACTCAAGGCAACTCTTTCCTGTGTATGGTGCTGCAGAGCCGTGCCCTCCAGAAGCAGCCGCGTGTCTGCTGGGCGGCTCCAAGCCCCTGAACCTCGGCAGGGTGAGGGACGGACCTCAGTGGAGAGATGGCATAATTGTCCTGAAATACGTCGATGGCGACTTATGTCCAGACGGGATTCGGAAAAAGTCAACCACCATCCGACTCACCTGCAGTGAGGCCCAAGTGGTAAGGGACTGCTTCCTGGCCTTCGGCTGCTGCAGCTCTGGGAATTGGCCCATGTGCAATTGGGCTCATCTGCCTTGGAACCAAAGTTCTGGAGCCTGGGATGATGCCCCCTTACCAGTGGTTGGGGGAGCAGTGTCACCGTGGCCTGCAATCTGGGGAACCCTCGTGCTGTCTGCCTCCTTAGATGCTTGTCCGGGAGTTCCCCTCTCAGAATTGGTTCTCTTCGGAGTTTGACTCTGATCCCCTACAGCCTGTGGAGGAGATTGTTGTTTGACAAAATGCCCTTTTCTTCATGGCGGCAGCTTGAATAGTACGAGAAGGTTGGCTGGGCCCAGGTCACAGGTAGCACTGCCACTTCCCAACCATGTAACTTGGTTAATTTCTCGATAGTCTGCACTACTCACCCGTTCATAACACGAGGTATACCTGTCTTGCCGGTTGTGGGGTTTTGAGAGAAGAGGCAGGAAGTGCTAGGTGTCATTTCTGACACACGGGAGGTGCAGAGTCTGTGGGGATGAGTACCTGGGATTACTTCTTCCCTTACTGGTTTGGCATGCATGTAAGTAGGTATTGACTGCTGGTGTCTCTGTGTGTGAGATTATGGTGAGCCCTGGTGCTAGTGTACCTGACGAGCTCGGTGGGCTGACTTGGGCAGGACCAGCTCGCTGCATGTCAGGATGGCTCTTCCCATGTTCTCCAGCGGTGGGCAGCAGTGGTAGGGGAGCTTGGGTTGGGGGTTCCAGGTCCTGTCCTCTTGCCTGGAGTGGCAGTGAAGTTTTCTCCTGGGAATATTGTGCAGAGGCTTAGCCCAGACTCACGAGCTGCTGGGCCCACGAGGATTCTCCTCTCTGAGCAGGGAGGCTCATGGCTGAGAACAAAAGGGCTGCCCCACATGTTGGGGACAAAGGCGATGGGGGCTGTGTGGGGGCTCTGAGCACAGGGCCTGGGAGGCTGGGAGGAAAGGTGAGGGGGTGTGTGGGGCCCCCATGCCCAAGGTCCAGGAGGCTAGGAGGGAAGGATTAGGATGGTGGTTGAGGTTCTCCATTCCCAGGGCCCAGGAGGCTGGGAGGGAAGGATGAGGGTAGTGTGTGGATGTCCCAGTTCCCAGGGCCCAGGAGGCAGGGAGGGAAGGATGAGGGGTATGTCGGGCCCCCATGCCCAGGGCCCAAGAGTCTGGGAGAGAAGGATGAGGGTGGTGTGTGAGGGTCTCTGTTCCCAGGCCCAGGAGGCTGGGAGGGAAGGATGAAGGTGGTGTGTGGATGTCCCAGTTCCCAGGGCCCAGGAAACTGGGAGAGAAGGATGAGGGTGGTATGTTAGGGTCTGTTCCCAGGCCCAGGAGGCTTGGGAGGGAAGGGTTAGGGATATGTGGGGGCCCTGTGCCCAGGGCCTGGGAACTAGACTGCAACGTGGCTTATCAGTGTGCACAGCAGGAATCATGGGGTTTACCTGGGAAGGAGGGTGCTGCTGACTCTGTGGTGGACACGAAGCGTTTTGAGATGAACACAATAAGCCTTAGCCAGTGGGAGGATGGGTAGAATTGGCTACTTCTCTAGGTGGGTCTTTTTGTTTTGACTGTGATAATGGATTTTACTTCATTTGGGTTTTAGAATCTTATCAGTGATTTATACATTTGTGTCTCCTGGCAGCTTTTCCAGCATCCTTTGCACCCCCATCCCCAGCCCCTGTCCTGTTCCTCAGCCTAAGGGACCTTTCTGGTCCTCTAGGTGGATTGCTACCTGTGTGTGTTTCACTTACTTGCATGGGAAGCCCATAGTCGCAGCTCAGGACACATTCTAACCCTTCGCTTTTCCTAATCTGCCCGTCATCCCACAGGCCTGTGGAGACAGAAGTTTCACATGCTTGTGGAGTTTTTCAGAGACACTTCCACTTGTAAGTTGAAAGCATGATAGACATCAAATTTTTGCATGATCCCTTCAGGACCTGTCTGTGCTTCGTTGTAGAACTCCAGGCCCATGTTCATCAGTGCTGTGGAGGATTGTGAGTATACCTTTGCCTGGCCCACGGCCATAGCCTGTCCTGTGAAGAGCAACGTGCATGATGACTGCCAGGTCACCAACCCAAGCACAGGTGAGAGACAATGCCAGTCGCCAGCCCCAGCTCAGGTGGGAGACAGTGCCCTCACCAAGCCCAGCTCATGAGGGGAAAGATCCAAGGAGAAGCCGTGGGCAGCACCCTGGGCAGAGGTGTCATGGTGTGTGCATGTGTTTGGCTTTTCTCTGGATGGGCCACTGTGTGTTCTCCTGGCTCTCCTTTGGTGGAGGAGAGAATGCTCCCTCAGACTCCCTCAGAGAATCCATCTCCCTGTCACTCTCCTGGTGTGAGAGGTGCTCCTGGCTGGGGTTACTGACAGTGTCAGCCCCAGCAGCTCTAGGCTTTCCAGGGCAGGTTAGAGCTAATCCCCTGCCTGCCTTTCGGCGTCAGTGTGGTGGATGGCCGGGAGTCTCTCACCTGCCCTTGTGCTGGGCACCTAGAAAGGTGCAGGCGCAGTCATCGGCCGTGAGAAGTGCATGCTGGCAGGCTCTTCCCACACCCATGGGAATCTTAGTGGCCGCCGTGCTATGGCCCAGCAGAGGGTGCTGTGAGCCACAATCTTCTGGGGGAAAGATGGGACATCTGTTGGATCTAAGGACTGACAGCCTCATGATACAGCCTGGCTGTTGGAGGATTTAGACAGTGTTGACAAATGGGGCACTGGGTCGTGGTGAGGAGTCAGAAGTCCCTGTGCTGACATGATCTGTGCGTGAGCTCGCCGGCGATGAGCCTCCCAAGTCTGAGCTCCCTGGAGTCACTATGTTGCCATCTTCTTCCACCCTACAGGACACCTGTTTGATCTGAGCTCCTTAAGTGGCAGGGCAGGATTCACAGCTGCTTACAGTGAGAAGGGCCTAGTCTACATGAGCATCTGTGGGGAGAATGAAAACTGCCCTCCCGGTGTGGGTGAGTGCTGTGGTCTCTGGTGTGTTGTCTGACTCTCCCGCCCCCTGGGGTTGTCCTTGGCCTGTTTATATGTCAACCGCAAAAAGGATGAGCAGAGCCGGGAAGCCAAGATGCTTTTGTCTCCTGTAGCAGTCAGCCCATGTCAGGGATACGTGGGCGTGTGATGGAACAAACAGTCCATGTAAAACAAAGGTTAAAGCCTGATTGGAAACTTGAAATTACAAGTGTTAGCTATGAAATAGATTGTCCTGATTTGCGGAACATTTTAATCAGAAAATTGGCCATTGAGTCTGTGATTGTGTTTTGTCTGCCTTTCCCTTGTGGTACAGGGGCCTGCTTTGGACAGACCAGGATCAGCGTGGGCAAGGCCAGCAAGAAGTTGAGTTACGTGGACCAGGTCCTGCAGCTGGTGTACAAGGACGGGTCCCCTTGTCCCTCCAAATCTGGCCTGAGTTATAAGAGCGTGATCAGTTTCGTGTGCAGGCCTGAGGCTGGGCCAACCAACAGGCCCGTGCTCATCTCCCTGGACAAACAGACGTGCACACTCTTCTTCTCTTGGCACACGCCGCTGGCCTGTGAGCAAGCAGTAAGTTTGGAGATGGGCGCGGGAGAAGTGCATGTCCAGTGCCCGGCTGCACCCAGGCCCCTTAATCAGGTTCACTTGCCCACTAGGAGATGCCCAGCTGACCTTGTCCACTCCTGATGGCCCCAATGATAAAGTTGACTGGAAGTGCCCAGTGCTATGTGATGAAGCATTTTGACACCTTTCTGCTTTTCTCTTATTGTTATTCAGCCTTTAAGTTCTTATGTATGGATAATGCAGTGATTAGCAAATTTTTTTTGTAGACTTAAAGCAGTTTTTCCTACTTAACAGACGGAATGTTCTGTGAGGAATGGAAGCTCTGTTATTGACTTGTCTCCTCTCATTCATCGCACGGGTGGTTACGAGGCTTACGATGAGAGTGAGGATGATGCCTCCGATACCAACCCTGATTTCTACATCAACATTTGTCAGCCACTAAATCCCATGCACGGAGTGCCTTGTCCTGCTGGAGCCGCTGTGTGCAAAGTTCCTATTGATGGTCCCCCCATAGTAAGTATGACCAATCCAAGGCTGGAGATAATATCTGCAAGACTTTTGGCAATAACCTTTGCATTGTTTCTTGCTTTCAGTGGAAATTTGCTCAAGCATAACAAAATGGAGAAAGTAAGTGGGATTGTGTGTGTTCTGGGTCCACTATGGGAGATTAAAGGTTTGCACATTGAACTGTTAGTCTTTGAGCATGTGAGATAACATGAACCCATGTGTAGGGACTCTACCTGTCGTGAACCTCAGAGTTGACCCGAATCAAGAAGTTTTTAGGTAAAGTGACAAAAAAGTACATTGGCCTACCCTGGTTTCTTTGTGTGAAATGCTTGTCTTCTGTAGTTCAAACACTTGTGAAATGCAAAATCTTTCTTTGTCCAGGATTATAATTGAGGGCAAGAGTACATTTGATAATGGCTAAATATTTTGCCTTGAAAGCTTTGGTTCTATGCATTAAAAAATTATTTTGTAGAGATGTGAGTCTTGCTATATTGCCCAGCCAGGCTGGTCTCAGGCTCCCGGCCTCAAGTGATCCTCCCAAAGTGCTGGGATTACAGGCGTGAGCCATGGTGCCTAGCTTGCTAGTATGTTTTAATAGAGGTTTGGATCTTTAAAAATTGTCTCAATGAGTTACATTCATATTTTGTCAAATCCTCGATAGGTTTTAGTACTTGAAATGTATCTCACAAGTCATCTGTATTTCTATCTGTATTATCTATTATGCTTTAAAGATGGGTCCGCTTATAAAATATCTAGATGTCCTTTAAAAAATAAACATTATATATGGCAGTGGTATGGGGAGATGTTGAGAGTGGGTAAGTTGGGCCACAGCATAAATTAGCATAGCTGCAGCTCTGCGTGACATGGAGGCCTGGACAAGCCGAGTCTCCCCAGGACGCTCTTTGGTAGCATCCTTTCTGATGGGAGAGGTCTGATCTGCTTGACCATCCATTGTTAGATGTTAAAAAGTGTAGGAAGTTCTTTAACTGGAGAAGATGTGGTGCTGCGTGGTGTGAACGTGCCTCACAGTGACGAATGAAGAATATTGTAGCTGAGAACCAAATCATGGGGAAGCTGCTTACACACACACACCATACACACATTCATCATACACACCATTCCAGGCCATTCACTTTTATTTACTTTTTAAAATTTAAAAACAAAGTTTTTTTCTCATAATACGCAGACTGGTCTTTCATGTATTTGTTTATTCACTCAAAATTATCTATTGAGCAGCCACTATGTGCCAGGTGCTGTAATAAGCAATAAAAATGAACAGTGAACACCACTTATCCCCTCTCCCAAGGGCACAGACAGTGGGTACTGCTGGGCAAGCAGCACTGGGCAGAGGGCGGCAGGTCAGCATCGAGGTTCTGGCCTTCCCCCATCAGGTGGTGGGAGGACTGTGTAGCATCCCCGATGTGAGAGAGAGATTCCTATTGCTTAGGATCTTTGAAACAGAACCAACCTTAAAACTAACCTTAGGGTCAAAATGATCACCACCAACATAAGGAAGTTATGTGGCATCTGTCAAGGCTTCTTATTGGGGTTGGTATAAACCCAGTTCCTTTTTTTTTTTTTTTTTTGAGATGGAGTTTCGCTCTTGTTACCCAGGCTGGAGTGCGATGGCGCGATCTCGGCTCACTGCAACCTCCGCCTCCTGGGTTCAGGCAATTCTCCTGCCTCAGCCTCCTGAGTAGCTGGGATTACAGGCACGCGCCACCATGCCCAGCTAATTTTTTGTATCTTTAGTAGAGACGGGGTTTCACCAGTTGACCTGGATGGTCTCGATCTCTTGACCTCGTGATCCACCCGCCTCGGCCTCCCAAAGTAACCCAGTTTCTTTAGCTGCTGCTCATTCTCAGAACCTATAAAGTCTGGGTTTTCCAGTTCTGTATCAATTGTTAATCCCATTAACCTTGGGAACGGCTTCTTTCCTGAAATACTGTTTACCTTTACTCTTTGTTTAGGATATCGGCCGGGTCGCAGGACCGCCAATACTCAATCCGGTAGCGAATGAGATTTACTTGAATTTTGAAAGCAGTACTCCTTGCTTAGCGGACAAGCATTTCAACTACACCTCGCTCATCGCATTTCACTGTAAGAGAGGTGTGAGCATGGTAAGTGTGGGCCTGTGATAATCTAGATGCTCAACTACAGGTTAGAGAGCCAAGGTTAGACAACAGGAAGTGCACATCAGGTCCAAGGATACTCTTATTCAAAATGTCTGCCTTGGTTAAGATGGTACACTAGTAGTGTGTCTGAATAATTTAAACCACTAATTGAGGGCTGAGTGAGCTCCCCCAGAGCTAATAACATATAGAGACTTGCTGTAATTTAAAAACATAGAACACGAGTAAAGAAATGACATTCAGCTTTGGCTGCTGATGCATAAAAGTGTCGTAACTTCTGTTTTTACTTGAACAATTACTGATTTTATTCCTACTGGGAAGTCAGAAAGACATTTGGGCAGCTATACATTCAAGACAAAGCCCAGAAGTTAGCAAGTAACAAAAGACCTCTGGAGTCAGAATAGCTACATCAAAGCAGTGCCTTTTACTTATAAGGAGAGATTGACTTCCATTTTATATGCATTGAAAAAAGTAGCTTCCATTATAATGAATTCTGTATTGTTACAAAGAGTTTTTGAGTACCTTTTCTTTTGACCCCTACTCTGTGAGATAAATTGGTAGATTATGGTCCCCATTCCACAGGGACTCTGAGTGGCTCTGTAGGGGCAGATCTGGGTCCCAGCTGCTGCACAGGGTAACAGCTCTTTGCTCCAGGGCCATAGCACCACAGCCTCTCACCTGTGCTTCTGTAGTCTCGAGGTTCTGAAAACTTGGGACTCCTTTAGGCTATTTATGGTGTGGATTTGTCCCACCTAATGTAGATATTGATACATCTAGCTGCAGAAATATTAATATGCTTGATCACAGGATCTGGGGGGTGGGTGTATGTGTGCATGTGTGTATTACATAATATAAATAATATATCTAGAATTGCCTCTTAAAATCCTAATAAAGGTGATGGATTCCAAGGCTCATCTGACCCCTAGGAGTTCAGGTGATAGATTAGGATCTGTTGGGTGTCTTAAAATTCTGATAAAGATGTCTCTCTGATGTTTGAGCTTGGAGCAGGTTTGTAAAGGGACTGTTAGACATGGGTGTATTGACAGTGACAGAAGGTGACCTGGCAGCCATCTGACCAGTAGGAGAGACAGTATTTGAGAGGGAGGAGAAAACAGTCCTGCTGTTTGGGGGTACTCCATAGGGGTCCAGAGAACCTCAAAGCCCTTGGATCTATCCCTGTTTATGAATCTTAAAGTGTATTGACAGTCCTAGTTAGCAAGGAAAGCCAGAGCGATATTGAGTCCACCCATTTCATCTGTTTATAAGCATATCTGCCTATTTATATGGGCGTATCTGTGTGTGCTTCTGTAGATACATGCAGCATAGGGCAACATGGGCTTCTGCTTTAAATTCTTCCTTCTTTAAGGGATGGTCTTCACTTCTAAGACCCGCCTGATCATGAGCGATGCTGTTATCTCACACCACCAGCTAGAGAGTGTGGAACTGCACTTTGCTTTCACACTGCTGCCAACTTGACAAATCGAATTAGCTAATGTGATTTTAGGTAATTCTCAGCAGCTGCACATTGAGGGTGATTAGTGTTTACTTGATTTTAGAAATGAGGCATCTCATGCTGAATGTGTATTCCAGTGTTCCAGAAAGACTTTTAGAAGATTTTTCCTCCCCAGCAGTTTTCATCTTCAATGGAAGTACTTTTACCCCTGAATCATAGGAGAAAAGATGCTTAACAGTAATTACAAATGGAATTCCTGAGAGCTGCCTCATCTTTTTCTGTTGCTGTTGAAGGAGGGAGGGAATAAATAAAGTGATTCCAGAGTATTTGGTCTATGAAACATCTGGCCATTTGACATCTTGCCCCGGTAATAAATATCCTCTATGTCTAGAGATAGTGGATTGGAGCACTTGCGGGTCACGGTCTCAGTTTCACAGATTTCTCTCTCATGATATTTAAGCCCTCCCCCTTTCTTCCTTTGAACCTGTAGCATAGAACATTGAGGCTTTCTCTCTCTCTCTGAGTAGAAGACAAGACCTGGATTCAGCCAGGGAGTTCCTGGGATATGTGGGGGGTAAGGGTGGGGTGATGTCTGTGGCTTGAAGATAGCATTGGGTCTTTCAGCTGCTGTTGCCCAGTGTCCCTTCCCTCTGAGAGGCCGCTGTGGGTTATGCACAGCCTGCATAGGGGCACAGTGTGTTGCTGTTGTCCCTACGCCATGGGGTTTTTAAGACCCATGCTCTTCCTGGCAACAGGGAACACCTAAGCTGTTAAGGACCAGCGAGTGCGACTTTGTGTTTGAATGGGAGACTCCGATCGTCTGTCCTGATGAAGTGAGGACTGAGGGCTGTGCCCTGACAGATGAGCAGCTCCTCTACAGCTTCAACTTGTCCAGCCTTTCCACAAGCACCTTTAAGGTAATGCGTTCACCCTGGGCTTTGCTGGTGCAGGTGTACCAGGTGCCAGGTGCTGTGAGGCTGCTGGGAGTGATTTGGATAATGTGGTACCCGTGAGCTGAGAGGGTATGTGTGGCCACTGGGCAGCAACTGGGGGCTCTCGTAGGGCATGCAGGGTCTCAGGAAGGTTCCTGCATTGTGTGGCCAACTAAGCACAGCTGACACTTGCGTTGTACCTCGTGGCTTGGGCAGGGTGTTTCTGCACCAAGGCTTTTTGAGGATCGAGTAACCTCATGAGGCAGGTAGTAGAACCCTTTGTGTTAGACAGAGAGCAGGCGGGGCAGTCGGGGACATGAATGTAAAGTACTCATGGGAGCAGGCCAGCTCTCGGGTGGCCAGCTGAAGTCTATGGGGAGTTAATTCCTCCTACTTGGCTGAAGATAGAGGCAGTTATTTGCTGATTGTGGCAGCTATGGGTGGAGGGAGGTAGGAGGTGCCCCTGGAATTGAGAGGCACTCAGGTACGTGCCTCCATGTCATGCCAGAGCTCTGGCCTATGCTGTGTCTGTGGGCTCTTGGTCTAACTGATGTGATGTTGTGGTCACTGGTGCCTGGCGGCCCCTAACCCCCTAAGCCTAGGGATATAGACATTACCATGCCAGTTCCAGGACTGGGGTACAGAACCCCAGCACCTGCCGCAACACGGTGGCTGGTGAGTGATGAGCTTGGAGTTTTGGGCCCAGGTGCCAAGCCCTGGCTTCTGTGATGGAGCCCTTTGCCTGGGTACAGGTCCTCCCGACAGGTGTGCAGCAGGCATGAGCCTTCTGGAGGCGGGGCGGGCCAGGCCAGGAGAGGCAGATCCACACTTCAGTGTGTGGCGTTGGCTCTGCTGGTTCACTCGCTTGGCCCATACACCTGCCTCATTACACAGGTGAGGGATGTGGGGTGAGCCTACGGCCCCACAGCTGGTTCCTTCCCACAGGTCTCTGACTAGAGACAATAGCCAGAGCAGTGGCCGGCCAGCGAGGTTGACCCAGGTCCCCAGTAGGGAGCAGGGGGAGCAAGCAAGCTGGGCCTAGGGGTTGCAGGAAGCCCCCCTGGGGAAAATCTAGGGCCAAGGCTATTGCATTACTCTGATGCACACAGAGGAGCCTCTGCTCTTCCACATGAACCCACCTCCTGTGCTGGCTGCAAGAATGGTTTGAACAACTCACCTCGAGACCCAGGCGCTGCCACTGCTTACGGCCATGCATGGTGTTTGTCCAGGTGACTCAAGACTCTCGCACCTACAGCATTGGGGTGTGCACCACTGCAGCTGGGCCAGACCAAGGAGGCTGTAAGGATGGAGGAGTCTGTCTGCTCTCAGGCACCAAGGGGGCATCCTTTGGACGGCTGGCGTCGATGAAACTGGATTACAGGCACCAGGATGAAGCTGTCCTTTTAAGTTATGTGAATGGTGACAGTTGCCCTCCAGGTAAATATTTGCAATGAGTTAAACTTCAAGCTGATGGTAAAGTAGATGTTAGACATAGGAGCAGAAAGAAACTGAGGAGTGGAGCTCGGCAGTCCTGAGTGCTGTAACCTTGGGTGTGAATGTGAGCTGTTCCTCTGTACCCCGGTGTGAGTGCTGGCATGTGAATCACACTGTCTTCTTTCAGTTGCCTGTTGAGTTTGGCAGGTGAATGCTGGTTGTCATGTAGGTGGTTTAGGATGGGCAGCTCCCTTAGGGGCTCCTGATGCCTTCTTAGGCGATTATGCCTGGCTAGGCACAGCTGTCACACTGACAATGTGGATTATTCAGATGTTATTCTTCTTTCTAGAAACCGATGAAGGTGTCCCCTGTGTCTTCCCCTTCATATTCAATGGGAAGAGCTATGAGGAATGTATCATAGAGAGCAGGACGAAGCTGTGGTGTAGCACAACTGCGGACTACGACAGGGACCACGAGTGGGGCTTCTGCAGACACTGTGAGTAGCATGGCTCTGCCTCCGCACATGACCTGGAGCCTTGGTACTCTCAAGGGTTCACTCACACTGAGACGTTTCTGGATGCTCCAGTCAGTGGCAGGAATTCTCCTGCATAAGGTATTTGGCTTGATTCACACTGAGACGTTTCTGGATGCTCCAGTCAGTGGCAGGAATTCTCCTGCTTAAGGTATTCTCTTACTCAGGCTGTTTCCCACCGAGAAACATTTGAACTGCTGTGGGGATCTATAGACCGCAGTGGAGCTGCCCTGAAGTCCTGTGCTGGGTGGCTGGCTAGGCCCACTCACTAGCTGGACCTTGTGTGTTCATACCTGTTTTTAGCCCTGGTGGTTCACATTATGCCTCAGCAAGATGAATGTCTGCCATGGATCTTCAGGATTCTGAAGCTAGTGAGGATTCCAGTAACCCAGGGGCCTCATTTATTGACTTTCTGCTATGTGGCAGCCCAGGTGGGGATGGGCTTTCTTGGTGAGCCACACTCAGCGCCCTTGCCCCTGTGGTGCCAGGAAGTTTCATGAGAGGAGCCCACTGCTGTGACTTGTGTCTGCAGACCATGAGATGAGAGAAATGCATGAAAAGTTTCTAATTTTCATAAATGCCCAGGGACCAAAATGGGAAGTATTCAGGAACCAAAGAGATTAAATTTACAGAGGATTACTATAGCTTTGTTTTGAGGCTTGTTTTGAGGAATAATGTTGACAGAATGTTATTCCCTATTCTCTGAATCACACTTGGGTTTTCAAGTACCTATAGTATTGTTTTATCATCTTATTTTGTTGATCATTATTGGTCAAATATTGACTACCTGTCTTAGGAATTGTGCTAGGGCTATGAGGTTATTGAAAAGTACAGTGAAAGATTGTGTGCCAAGGAGCTGGGTCTCTTTGGAGTCAGGATACACATGAATGAATCAACATGAGATGTGGCCAGGGCAGCACGTGGGGCATGGCCAGATGGCGGATGGAGTCTGCAAGTGCTCCTCAGGCAGCGTGGGGAAGGCGTGTGGAAACACGCCCTGGTGCAGGCCTTGGTCTGATGTTCTCCTGCCTCTGCTCCCCAGCAAATAGCCACCGGATGTCCACCATCATATTTAAGTGTGATGAAGACGAGGACATTGGGAGGCCACAAGTCTTCAGTGAAGTGCGTGGGTGTGAGGTGACATTTGAGTGGAAAACAAAAGTTGTCTGTCCTCCAAAGAAGATGGAGTGCAAATTCATCCAGAAGCACAAAACCTATGACCTGAGGCTGCTGTCCTCCCTCACTGGGTCTTGGTCCCTGGTCCACGATGGAGTCTCGTGAGTCCCTTCCCATCCACCTGCAGTGACATACCCTCAGCAGGCGAGCTTCAGACTGCCTGATGATGGTTGGCTCTTTGGGATTCTAAAGATGAGAATACCACCCCCATGTGAGGTGGGTGGTGGTTGAGCTGTGACTCTGCTCCTGGAAGCTGCCCACAGTGTCATTCCTGGCACACAGGGTGGCTCTGAGTTCAGAGTTGGGACTGGAGCTTTGGTGAGTGGAAATGGAGCCTTTGAAGCTGAAAGAACCTGGGCTGACTAAGTTAGGCTGGGTTTGATTTGCGGTTGTGTGTAGCTCAGGTTGTGGGAGGTGTGTGGGTTTTCTCAGGTCTTTGGCAGAAGCTCCTTAGGTGTTGCTGGCTGGTATCAGCCCACAGTCCTGACCACTCTGTGTGGGGAGTGCCCTCTTGGCCAGGCACTCTTGGCAAGGCATCACCGAGGAGCAGGGGCATGATCTTGGAGGGTTTAAATAAGCTCTAAGTAAGAGGGGAAACTTGCCAGGACTCCAGCCACTGCCTCTCCCAGCTCCAGAGCCTGTCTTTCTACTTCACCGGGCTGTGTCCAGGGTGGCCACAGGCGTGTGGATGTTCCACTCTGGGTGTGCCTGGTTGGTCAGCTCCCTTCTTCAGTGATGACTTCCTTTTGCCCTTTTTTTTAATTGAAAAGTATTTTAGTGCTACATTCAGTGACAGAATGGAGCCCTTAGCTGTCCTAACTTTTCTCTGAAAGCAAAGTGAAGAGCCTCTCCTGTGTCAGGGCAGAGACATCACTTGCATGCCTGTTTCCCTTTGTGTCATTTTCTAGGTACTATATAAATCTGTGCCAGAAAATATATAAAGGGCCCCTAGGCTGCTCTGAAAGGGCCAGCATTTGCAGAAGGAGCACAACTGGTGACGTCCAGGTCCTGGGACTCGTTCACACACAGAAGCTGAGGGTGACAGGTAAGGCCTATGGGTCCTGGTCCTTGGTTCAAGGAGCGGCATCTGAACTGGGAAGGTGAGGGTGTTCTGAGGATGGCAGGGAGAGTGAGTAGGTGCTTTGGTGGAAACCTCGAGATATGATTGCCTGTCACTGTGTCACAGGCAGTTTGGCTATGAGATAGTGACAGGCAACCATATCTGGAACATTAAAATAAGTTCTGCTTCGTATTTTGTGAGACTGCAGGTCCCAGTCCGTGTGTTTAGAGCGTTTCAGCTGTCTTGGGAAAGTGCGTCTATCCAGGAGGAAGTCTAAGAATGTTCAGAGTTTCTCTGACGTTCATGTTATATCTGTAGATCAAGTGCCTAAGTTGACGTAGATGCACGTGTTTGTTTAGGAAAGCCAGCTACTTACATGAGGACTTGGTACAGGTAGCTCAGGGGTACGTCTTTGTAAAATGTCTTAACTTTGAAAATAATGGCGATGCCTTTTAATGGAAAATTCATCTTGTAGTTTGTTGGTGAGTGAAATATGTTTTCTTTCATCATTTAAAGGAAGAAAATAGAGGTTTCTTAGCTTAAGAGCAATTAGGGTGTCTTGGAGGGGCCAGTAAAGGAAAACGTTCGCCTTTTAGGTTGGAGTGGGGTTTCCTGAGCTGTCCTCATTCAACCACAGGATTATGTCAGATTAGCTTGAGATGGTAAGGTGGAGAAAGGGAATTCCGGGGAGACCACTGTCACCCTTGATAAAAATCACACCCAGACTCTGCAGGTTGGTAGTGGAGGGAGAGTTGGCATACAGGAAGTGGCACCCAGACCTCCAGCCTGAGACTCGCCCTCCCCGGGAGGTTCTTACTGCTTTGGAGGTCAGTTATTGCTGCCACTCCCACACTGCCCCAGAAGGGCGAAGGAGGGAGGGTAGTGGGAGCGTCGCTCTTTCCCCAGTAATCTCGCAGTATATATGCATATTTGCCTAGTCTTTCCTGATTTCAGCCAACGGAAACAACTAAAACACTTAAGGCCTCACTACAAGTTTGAGGCAAAAGGCGCAGGAGAATAGTGAACACAGGGAGTGACATGGAACTAGATCACCTGACTTCTTGGTGGTGTTGTCATCCATTGCACAGGCTGGGCCCCTCGGGTGGGGAGGTCGAGCCTCCTGCCCAATCCGTATGGGCTGTCTACACAATTAAAGTCTTCACTTGTTTGATCCCATATGCTAGAAGTTTAAAAATGTTTCCTTAAAACAGTGGAACTCTTTCTTCCAGAATTTTACAGAGAAGCCCAATCTTTAAAACAAATTCAGCCAGAGCAGCTTAGAATTTGGGGCAGGGCTGAGAGCCTGGAGTCCCACCTCTCACCTCACCATCCCGCAGCCCCCAGTACCTTGGCCTGTGTCCTGTGGAAAACACTTGGGGGGGGGGGGACACTGTACCTATTTTGCCTCCACTGCATGCCCCTGCCTGGAAGGATGTATGTGTGTGTGGTCAGGGTGGAAGGCACATGCTCCCCCAGACACCCTGCGCCATGCATACCTTGGAGTCATGGTCTGTCCATGCAGTCAGGCTGGGCCTGGGCTGTTCCCAGAACAGCCCCCTGGGCAGCCACGAGCAGCCTCTTGGTGGTGGCTTGAGAGTCAGAACTTGGTGACCATGCTGCCCCAGTGATACTTGCAGCTTAAAACATGTACTCACTTTTTTTTCAGACCCTGCAGGTTCAAGGGCTTAGGTTTTGTTTTTTTTTTTAATGGGTCACTTTTAAAAGCAGACAGTGCTTGACTTGAAGCCAGAAGACCCTAGAAAACCACAGTTGATCTCTTCTGCCTTTTCACTTTTTCCAGTCCCTGCCCTGTTATTATTGGGAGACTCACATGAGGGTACCTATCAGGAAAGCACCTAATACGATACAGAACTTTTACACAATTGGAGCAATAGGGAAGGCTGCCATTACCCGAGGTCCTCTTCTTCATGAGTTTTTCAGGCAGTTTCTATACATGCCTGAAACCTGCCCACTTTGGACAGTGTCCTGTTCTCTAGGTAAGGCCCTTGAAGCTCAGAAGCTCAGCAACCCGGGGTCACAAAGTGTGGGAGTAGGAGGGTTTGGGTTTGACCCCAGGTCTTGGGCTGTGGCAATGGTGCGATAGGACGGGTCTGATCATGGTAATGCGAGAAGAGGTGGATAAACTTGTAGGGAGCCAAAAATTTATTTTTTCCTGGCCTTTAAACCAGATTTTGACTTCTAACATTGAGGCTTTGTTTGTTTGTTTTGAGATGGAGTTTTGCTCTTGTTGCTCAGGCTGGAGTGCAATGGCACGATCTCAGCTCCCTGCAACCTCCGCCTCCTGGGTTCAAGCCATTCTCCTGCCTCAGCCTCTCAAGTAGCTGGGATTACAGGTGCCTGCCACCGTGCCCAACTAATTTTGTATTTTTAGTAGAGATGGGGTTTTACCATATTGGTCAGGCTGGTCTCAAACTCGTGACCTCAAGTGATCCACCCACCTCAGCCTCCCAAAGTGCTGGAATTAACAGGTGCGAGCCAGCGCGCCTGGCTGAGGCTTTTTATAATGCACTAGAAATAATGTCATTTCAATTGTGTGTTTCAGGTGACAAAGTTGTTGTCACGTACTCCAAAGGTTATCCATGTGGTGGAAATAAGACCGCATCCTCCGTGATAGAATTGACCTGTACAAAGACGGTGGGCAGACCTACATTCAAGAGGTCAGGAGACTGGGGGTACAGAGGGGGAGGCACAGACTGGGGGCACAGAGGTCAGGAGACTGGGGGCACAGTGCAGCGAGCACACTGGGGAGGTTCCTCCTTGGGGTTTTCACGTGCAGGTTTTGACTGAGTCTTAGGAGCTCGGGGCTACAGTGGCTGATTGTGCTGTATTGGGCGCGGCTGCTCCAGGCAGGGAAGATCCCGGATACAGTGCTGAGATAGTGTTACAAGATCAGTGCAACTTCTCTGGCCTAGCTTGCCTCTTGAACTAGGTTTACTACTGGCTGAGCAGTGTTTAACTGGCCTTCATCTTTGAATGTCATAGTAGAAACAAAGGGACATTGATTTGTCCCACCCAAGGTGTTCAGGCAGCCTGCCTGGGACTCTCAAGCAGGTGAGACCTGCCTCTGGACCTAGGATGTGCTTGGATTGTATTCAGGTTTTCCAGGCAACATTGCAGCTGGCACCAGGGAGAGCTTGGCCAGCAGAGGGTGCATGTGAGCTGCTGTCTGTGAACAAAACTGATTCCTTCCAGACGCTCAGTTTGGAAAAGGGGAGACTTAGAAATTGCCAAAGGATTTATCAGTGTATGAGTCTGAGAAGCTTATAAAACAAAAAACCAAAAATCTAGGAGCAAATATTTCCATGTTTTAAATGTTACATGGTTTACAAACTTTAAAAAATTGATACTGAGTGCTCTGCTTTGTCACATTACTGACACAGTTGTCTTCCCTATCCACTGTGGCGATGAAGAAGAGTGAGTAAAATCGCCATCCTAGCTCAGAGCCGCTGTCAGTGTTGAGCCTAGGCCCATGCAGCCCAGGGAGTGGGGGTCTTGGGACCGAACCGAAATCTCAGTGCACCTTGACTGAAAGCCAGCGAGCTGCCTCAAGGGTTCCGAGTGTTCCCTGTTTTGCAGTCTGCCCTGTGAAGACCGCAGTCTGCGCTTTCCCCTCCCTAGGTTCGACATCGACAGCTGCACCTACTACTTCAGCTGGGACTCCCGGGCTGCCTGCGCCGTGAAGCCTCAGGAGGTACAGATGGTGAATGGGACCATTACCAACCCTATAAATGGCAAGAGCTTCAGCCTCGGAGACATTTATTTTAAGTAAGTAAAGCGTTTTCCTTTTGAGCTGTGAAGTGTATTCAAAATTAAACCAGCAATGCAGCTCTTCCCCTACTGGGGAGCACTCCAGGATAAATAGGTCTGTGTGTTTTAGTTACTGTTGCTGGAGTTGTCGTCATCTTTTGCTTAAACTGAGAAAAAGCATTACTCAACTATCAAATTTTAACACCAAAGATGGTGAGGTCTTGTGAGTGTAAAAATAAATCCCCCCACTTCTCCCTCACTTCATGATAAGCTCAGGGGTTGAAGCAGAAGCCTTCTGACATGTTTGAGCAGGAATCTTCTGGGATTGCCAGTCTGTAGAAAATAGATTTTTCAGCAGTGCTACTGAGGCTGCTCTCGGGCCGGTGGCCCAGGTGCCTGGCCATGTCTTCTGCCTGTGCATGGACAGGGTTAGGGCCATGCGGTGCAGGACGCGGTGCTGGACACGGCACCTGAGGAAGGTGGATTAGCACTCAGAGAGCAGAACTGGTTGAGGAGAAAGCCTCTTGAGATGGAAGCTGGTGTCCTCAGAATCTCTTTGGGGTCACAGATGTGCTGCTGTAGCTTAGGACGGGAAGCATCCTGGGCCCTGCAGTGATTCTGAGGACTGTGGGTTTATGTAATGAATGCCTTCTTGAAGGACTTCAATGTCAGTGTGGTCTTTTCTGTCTCTTTAGGCTGTTCAGAGCCTCTGGGGACATGAGGACCAATGGGGACAACTACCTGTATGAGATCCAGCTTTCCTCCATCACGAGCTCCAGAAACCCGGCGTGCTCTGGAGCCAACATATGCCAGGTGAAGCCCAACGATCAGCACTTCAGTCGGAAGGTCGGAACCTCTGACAAGACCAAGTACTATCTTCAAGGTAATCCGTGGCTTCCCATGACAGGTCCTCATTTAAATTCCTCCAAGGAAGGGCATTAAAATTTTCAACTAACTCCCTTCGGTTGAAATCTCACATCACTTTTAAAACAAAAACCATGGTCTAATTCTTTGCTTTCTTATGAATTTAATCAGAATGGATCAGATGATATGTGCCAGACCTGAGCATTTCACTGTACATAAATTGTATCTCAGTTAACAAGTAGACAAATGTCCAAAAAACGAAAACTTGGTCTGATCCAGTGGTTTTGCGGTCAGGTGGAGGCTGAGCTGTGCAGAGTCAGAGTTACCTTTGATTTGGTTTTAGCCATGACACGTCCTCCTTTTGGAATACCAAATAATATTAGAGAAGGGAAGGAGATTTCATATTTGTAAGAAGGATGAAAGTGTTAGGATATAGGTTAAAATCAACCGGGATGCACATAGGGCAGACTCCAGGGTGTGAAGGAAGGTTTTTTACTGGCACTAATAAGGGTGCCACTAATATTGCCCTTTGTTCCCTCTCGTCCTTGAGGGAATCATCCTGAAAGGCTGCTTTTGTTTTGAACAGCTAGTCTTAACTATATACCTTCCGTAATTTGATTTTTGAACCATGTGTGGATGTAATAACTCTTTAGAAAATCAAGTGTGTTTAAAGAAAACCCCAGCCTTCTCTGATGTTAAACAGCTGCTGAACGGGTCCCGTGGGAGGGGAGAGTAGTGATAGCCAAGAAGGACTGGGGGTGCTCCGTGCCCTGGTGCAGTGTGCATCTCCCCAACAGCAGCACCGCTGGGTCAGCATCGCTGCTCACGGACACAGATTGGAGACAGCGCCCTGGTGCATCTGCTCATAGCACCTGTGGGCCATGAATAGAGCTGGGAAAGTGAGTGTCCTGCTTCTGGGCGGCTTGATGATGGGAAAGTTGATCAGCCTCATTCACTTGCATAATTCCACAGCACAGAGCAAGTGCTCTGTGCTTCTCTGTTCTCTGCCTTCCTCATGCTTCGGTGAATCCTGCAGTCATTCAGAGTCAGATATTGCACGTCACAGGTTGGCCTGCTCTTGCTCTCCTGTTTCGCAGTGCCTGGCCCATAGGAGGTGCTCGGTAAATGTTGATGAAAGGAAGGAAGGATTGTCATGCCTCAGCCATCGGGTTATTCACCAGCTCCCAAAGTCACTCTGTAACCTGGTGGCTTTACACGTGCTGTTCCTTGTGCTGGAATGCCTCGACCCGCCTTCCTCATCCTTCCAGTGCCCCTCCCTGGAAGGCCCACCTTCTCGTAGCAGGGTGGCGCTGCCTGGTGTGTCTTCAGGAGTCTTCAGGCTCCACAGCACAGCACTGGCCACTTGTTCCACATAAGTACCTCCACGTTCACAAGTGGTGTGCCAGGCAGCCCTACAGGGATCCACGTTCACAAGTGGTGTGCCAGGCAGCCCTACAGGGATCCATGTTCACAAGTGTGTGCCAGGCAGCCCTACAGGGATCCACGTTCACAAGTGGTGTGCCAGGCAGCCCTACAGGGATCCACGTTCACAAGTGGTGTGCCAGGCAGCCCTACAGGGATCCATGTTCACAAGTGGTGTGCCAGGCAGCCCTACAGGGTTCCATGTTCACAAGAGTGTGTCAGGCAGCCCTACAGGGATCCATGTTCAAAAGTGGTGTGCCAGGCAGCCCTACAGGGATCCATGTTCACAAGTAGTGTGTCAGGCAGCCCTACAGGGATCCATGTTCACAAGAGTGTGTCAGGCAACCCTACAGGGATCCATGTTCACAAGTGGTGTGTCAGGCAGCCCTACAGGGATCCATGTTCACAAGTGGTGTGCCAGGCAGCCCTACAGGGATCCATGTTCACAAGTAGTGTGTCAGGCAGCCCTACAGGGATCCATGTTCACAAGAGTGTGTCAGGCAGCCCTACAGGGATCCATGTTCACAAGTGGTGTGCCAGGCAGCCCTACAGGGATCCATGTTCACAAGTAGTGTGTCAGGCAGCCCTACAGGGATCCATGTTCACAAGTAGTGTGTCAGGCAGACCTTTGAGGATCCCCAGCTTTCAGAAGGCTGGTGCATACACATTTAGTCATTCTTGGTAAATAAAATAGCTTTCAGACCTTTTCACTGTCTTCATTCACCAGCCCCAGAAAGTAGCTTTAGTTTTAAGATCTCTTTTCATCTTTCATGAAGAAATGAAGTTTCTTTCTCTTCCTGAGGCTTGCCGTTCCTTCAGGAGGGCAGAAGCTGTCTTTTCGTCAGGATGTGGGGCTGCTGGGCAGTTTGTTCCCTGCCACCAGCCCTGTGGAACGGTCCATTCAGCAGCCCCTGCTTTAGCCACTCCCAAGCGAGAATGCAGGACCCTCCCCAAGCTGAGCTGTACCGCCTGTCTCTGGGCCCCTGTGTGTGTGGACACGTCCATCTCATACCCTGCACTTTTGCCTCTGCATTCCTGGTACCCAGCAGCGCCAGCCACAAAGATTTTGAGTCAGTGACAAAGGTTGGGAGGAGCAGAGTTTATGCAAGGTGTCCACGCAAGGCTTCCTCACTTCTGACACCAGCGGCACACTGAGGAGGTGTCCAAGCCAACTTTATTTTTATTTATTTATTATTTATTTTGAGACAGAGTCTCACTCTGTTGCCCATGCTGGAGTGCAATGGTGCAGTGTTGGCTCACTGAAACTTCCACCTCCTGGGTTCAAGCGATTCTCCTGCTTCAGCCTCCCGAGTAGCTGGGATTACAGGCGCCTGCCACCACAGCCAGCTAATTTTTTGTATTTCACCATGTTGGCCAGGCTGGTCTTGAACTCCTGACATCAGGTGATCCACCCATCTCAACCTCTCAAAGTGCTGGGATTACAGATGTGAGCCACAGCACCCGGTCCCAAGCCAACTTTATATTCTCCCTATCACCATAACCCACAGAGCTCCCTGAAAGCAGTTATGCTCACAGTTATGATCTACTGCAGCAAAAGGATATAGGTTAAAATCAGCCAAGATGCACACAGGGCGCAGTCCAGGAGGGAATCGAATGCAGAGGTCCTGTCGGACTCTCCTGTGGAATCAGATGTGTTGTGTTCCCAGCACCCACATGTGGCAGTGTACATAGAGTATTGCCTGCCCGGGTGCTCCCCTGAGCCTTGGTGTCCAGAGTTTTTCCTGGGGCTCCATGACATGGGCAGAACTGGTTGGCTGATTGCTCAGGTACTGCATGGCCAGCCCCTGCTCCATATCCTGTCGTTAGCTGAGGACCAAGGCCAGCCCTCTTTTTGGGAAAGGTTAAATTCTTGCCTTCCTTCCTGTCACTGTCACTTCTGGTGCCACTACTCCTGGAGGAGCCCTGGCATAGTGAGGGGATCTCAGGCCTCCACATTATTGAAAAATGAAGAGCTCGAGGAGATCAAGAAGGAGACCGGCCTTTCCCACCGTCAAATCACCCCCTCTACAGCTGGTTCACCAGCCTGGACAAAGGAGAGAACGGAATGATTTTCAGAGGATTCCAGAACTTGCTGTCAACCCAGTGGGGGACTGGGTCATCAGTGCCTTCTTTCCAGAGGGAGAGGACCAGATAAACTCTGTGGATTCCTGCGAACTTTGGCTTATATCCGAACCATTGAGGATAATGAAGAGAGCAAAGATGTGAATGGACCTGAACCACTCAGCAACAAATAGCACTTTGCTTCTGGACTATATGAGTTGGATAAAGATGACAAGACCTCCTGTGATGAGCTGTTAGCAGGCGCCATGCGTGATGGTCCAAGTTAATGTCTCAGATGAGCAGCTGAGCGGCGGCGCAGACAGGACCATTCGGGAGGCTGATCCGCGTGGGGACAGTGACATATCTTTATCACAGACTTTGCTAAGGTTTTGGAGAAGGTCGATGCAGAGCAGAAAATGAGCATTCCATTTCTTCGCTAAAGGACGGACAGCAAACTGTTCCTTGTGGTCTAGTATTTAAGAACTGGAACTTGACAGTCCTCGTGTCCACCAGCCCCACCTCCGCTCCTTCAGTCCCTTTCTCCCAAAGTGCTACTGCTGTTGCATGACAACCCCAAGTATGTTCTGTCAACACAAACCTGCCTTTGGTCTATAAACAGGGCATTACAGAACGGTACACCCAGTCTGTTTCTGCTCTGTATCCATTCACCAGTTCTTCATTTACAAATACCATCTTTCTGTGTTCTGCTGCCGAATGCCACACATCCATCAAGTCTGAGAAAGTACGATGGAGAATCATGCTGAGAAACAGGCCAGCAAAGCTCTTCCGCTGGATGTAGACTGCGCCCATGCTGCCTTCCCTCTGGCGAGTTCGCCAGCATGCATCCTTTTTATATGTCCGTTGCTTCCTATTTCTGTGTCATTCAGCATACTGTTCACCGAGTCATGCAGTCTTTCTGCTTTTCGTTAAGCCTCAAAATCTCCTCTATTCTACTTGGCACCCCAAGCTATGCCTGGTATATGTATTTCTGACTTGGCAGGATAGTTCAGTGGTGTGGTAGTTTTTATCTACCTTCATTAGACTTCATGAATCAGGCTATTGCCGTCCTAATGTATGTCTCTGTGAGTCTGTTCATTCACATATCTGCCCTTGGCTTTCGTGACTCATTGCTTGCTTGCTTGTTTCCTTGATTTGGAAACTATTGAAGGTGTGTACATAATTCTTTAGGAAGGGGATTGCTAAAAAATACCACTGCAAAGCAATGGAAAAAGGTGGAGAACAGGGAAGTAGCCAGGCTGGATGGCTCAAATAGAAATGAACGAGGAATTCTTTATGAAGTATCAGTTGGACTTTGTGATTGAGTGATGTAGTATAGGAATTGTATAAAAGGGAAGACATCTTACACTGATCTGTTAGAAAGGTACTTCAGAGGCTCGTTGATTTTCATATTTAAAGTTCCTAAGATTATAGCTTTTCCCCTCTTTTGGCTGTATAGCAGACTGATTTAATCCACAGTTGTGCCTTATTGTTCCATTAAAATTGTATCTTCAGTCCATCAGTAAATACTTGTGGTTATAACAAAACAAAACAAAAATTCTTTACTGCGTGCTGAGGGCAGGGCTCTGTCAAGGTGTACCGAGTGGCTTTGTAAGCTGTGAACACAGTGCACGTGGGACATGGGATGAAGTCTCTTCTGTGTGATTTTAAGTCTTTGCAAACTTTTAGATCATAAGGAGCTAAGCTCAGTCTGCTCTTGAAAACTGATAGTGACACGCCGTGTTGCCCCTTCCTTTTTGATAGATGGCGATCTCGATGTCGTGTTTGCCTCTTCCTCTAAGTGTGGAAAGGATAAGACCAAGTCTGTTTCTTCCACTATCTTCTTTCACTGTGACCCTCTGGTGGAGGACGGGATCCCCGAGTTCAGTCACGAGACTGCCGACTGCCAGTACCTCTTCTCTTGGTACACCTCGGCCGTGTGTCCTCTGGGGTAAGTGTTCTCTTGGTACACTTCAGCCGTGTGTCCTCTGGGGTAAGTGTGACATCAGGATGCTTAGCACTTGGACCCCACATCCTCTCTTGAACCTTATCTTGAGAATAAGTGTATGCGTGTTTTTTCCCCAATGTTTTATTGGTAAATATTCAGAACATTCACCAAAAAATAGAGACACTGATAGAGGTAGACCCCCCACAGCCAGTGCCATGCTCCAGTGCTGTCAGTGTCCTGCCACTCATTTTTGGTCCGCACCTGCGTCACCCTCAGGAGCAGTGCTGGCACTTCCTTCGTGAGTACTGTGCCCCAAGTAGGGTCCAACCAGGGTGTCCCAGCTCTGTCCCTCCACCCCTTTTCCATTGCTGCTTCCCTTTCCTTAGCTCCTTGGAAGCCGGTACTGGCTGTGCCTCCTCTTTGTAATCCCGGGATGTCTTCTCTTTGGTCCTAATACAAATGATTGTATAGTAAAATTTCGCTTTGATGTGCGTGCAGTATTTTTACATTTGTTTAATGAATGAAAAGCTTACTCTGCAGATTTTGAGAACTATCGTGGGAACAGAAGCAGCAGTTCTGCTCTGAAGGAAGGTGGCACTTCCATTGGTTGTCTTGTGTCCCACAGCCGTTTCATACTTTGCCACGAATAACATGTTGTCAGCTACTTTTTTCTTAGATTTATTTTCTTATGTCACCCGGCCCACCATTTTATTTATTTTTGTTTTTTATTTTTTGGGGACTGTCTCGCTCTGTCACCCAGGCTGGAGTTCAGTGGTGCCATCTTGGCTCACTGCAACCTCCGCCTCCCAGGTTCAAGTAATTCTCCTGTCTTAGCCTCCTGAGTGGCTGGGATTACAGGCACGCGCCACCATGCCCTGCTAATTTTTGTATTTTTAGTAGAGATGGGCTTTCACCGTGTTGGCCAGGCTGGTCTTGAACTCCTGACCTCAGATAATCTGCCTGCCTCGGCCTCCCAAAGTGCTGGCATTACAAGCATGAGCCACCATGCCTGGCCTGGCCCACTATTTTATATAAGCTTTTCATTCTGTCTTGAGACTTTAAGATCGGGGGAACATGAATTCTTGCCATGTAATTGTTTCCTTCATGTCCTGAAAAAGAGACCGTACAGTCAGCAGACGACAGTGGTAGGGGTCATGGGGGAATGAAGATCACACATTTTTACATCTTAAATCAGCACCCCGATTCCCCCATCAACCCTTACCTGTGGGCATCAGCTCAGCAAAAAGCAGCTTTGTCCTACGCCATTCAGGGGCTGTGTACCTAGGGACTCTTAGCTGCACAGTCAGGGAAAGAGGCTTTGGTTAAAATTTCACTTGTGGTACTTTCAGCTTTTGAATGTTTATGGTGTTCAGTGAGATCATTACAAAATGAAAGGACTAAAACTGGAAGTTCTTCCTGAAAGAAGCAAAATGTGAATTTTTTAAAAAGATAAAACCTAGAAGCGAACTTTCCCTGCATTGTCCGTCACTGAGAGTCTAGAACTGCCATGAGGTAAATCCTGCCTCCGGACGTGGCTGCTGGTCTTACACGTGGGTCTGAGGGAGACCAGCCAGGCCTGGGTCCTGTCAGTGTTGATGTTTAGAGTTGGACTTCTGTGAGTGGGAAAGGCACCGTTTATAAGGCTTTGGTGTTTTACTCTAAAACCAGAGAGGAAAATTCCCCAGGAAAGCTCGGTTTCATGATGTCATCAGGAATGCTGGTTGTTTAAATCCCTTAACACGTTGACAGGTAATAAGGACTTTTAAAAAAGGAAACAGACATTGAAACCAACAGCAGAAACTCAGTTGGTGGATTATGAGGGATGCAACCACCACCTGGGGGTGACGTGGAATGGTGCCTGAGATTTTTTTTCCCCCAAATATTATCAGTGTTATACATTTTAAAGGCATGTAAATATGTCCAGGTGCGGTGGCTCACACCTGTAATCCCAACGTTTTGGGAGGCCAAGACAGGCGGATTACTTGGGGTCAGAAGTTCTAGACCAGCCTGGGCAACATGGTAAAACCCTGTCTCTACTAAAAATACAAAAATTAGCCAGGTGTGGTGGCACATGCCTGTAATCCCAGCTACTTGGCAGGCTGAGGCAGGAGAATCACTTGAACCCAGGAGGCAGAGATTGTAGTGAGCTGAGATGGCGCCACTGCACTCCACCCTGGGTGACAGAGCGAGTCTCGGTCTCAAAAACAACAAAAAAAAGTCATGTAACTATAACAAACAGGTAGCAGTGATTACCTTAATAGATGATAATTTTTAGTTCTTTTAGATATTTCTTTTGGAATTTACCTCAGTCTTTAATTAACATCCTTTATTTCATCTGTTGACTTCCTGCAATAGTAGATGAAGATTGGGCTCTCTTACACCTTCCTTGACCTCTCTTACACCTCCCATATTTTCCAAAAATGGTTATTTCACAATATTTGGTTAAAGCAATAATCAAAAAACGTGCACAGTTAAAAGACATCTGCAGATGGAAGGGGCGTACTGTGTGCCCAGCGCAGTTACTGATGACAAGACCCACCCACTTACGACATGCCAGGAGAGCACATGCAAAGGAAAGTCTGTAAAAGCTGCGGGGGAAGCTGATTTGTTGTATTAGAAAATAATTTAAGAAAGATTGAAATACTTTAAGTCCTCACTTCAACATCATCAATAGGTTCTTGGAAACTGCAACTTTTGTGAAATGATGTATAACGAAACCGATTTTTTTTCTCATCAGCATTAATAATGAGACTGTTTTGAAGGAAATGATGTTATTCAGAGACCTCCTGTAGTTGGTTCACGGAAGGCTGCAGTTTGAGGGAACCTGTCCGCCACCTTGTGAGGACTCAGTGTACTGGACAGGTGGTGTCTAAGCTGAGTGCGGTGGCAGAGTTCCCAGCTTTTAACATTACTTCCAGCAGTAGCACCATATGAAAGGAAAACCATTTTCTTAAAAGAAAGGAAGGAAGAAGGAAAAAGAGTTCCTGATTGTTTGGAAGACATACTGTTAGACTCTTTGTCTTAGTATGCATGCCAGTATTTAGAAAATAACCACTAAAATAATAGAAATACAGTATATAACTTCCAAAACAGTAGTGAAGAAAAGGAGAAATAAAAATACTTAAGTCCCCAAAGAAGACAGGAGAAAAGGAAAACAAAAACCAGACAAGTGGAAATCCAGCCTAATGTAGTAGAAATAAATCTGACTGTATCTATAATCATGATAAGCATAGCTTGACTAAACTTGTCAGTTAAAAAAAACAAGTTGTCAAATTGGATTTCAAAAACAACTCTGTATCCAGGGAACACGCCTAAAACAGGGATACAGAAAAGACCAAGATGAAAGGATGAGAAAAGATATGCCGGAAAAGAATCTGCAAGGAAGCTGCAGTAGTTATATTAATATAAGATAAAATAGGATATTAAAGAAAAATATTAGCGATAAAAAGGGTCATTTTAATTTTAAAAGGGCAGATTTCCTGGAAACATACAAGAATCCTAAACTTCTGTCAAGCTAGTAAAAAGCCTCAGTATGTAAAGCAGAAATTGACAAAACCACACACAGGAAACAGTGACAAATGCCCCTCACTTAGTGATTGCTGGGTCAAGTAGACAAAGAGTAAAGCTTTTTTGGAAGATTGGGACAGCACAGTGCGAAAGCATGATTTAATAGACATGCTTAGAATGCTATTCCCTGCAGTGGGAGAGTACCGTTTTCCCAGGCTCACATGAAACACTTAGAAAACTTTATCAAAAATTAGCAACGAAGCAGGCAAGTTAGCAATTTCGTTTTTTTCCCTTTGAGACAGTCTCATTCTTTTGCCCAGGCTGGAGTACAGTGGCATGATCTTGGCTCACTGCAACCTCCACTTTCTGGATTCAAGTGATTCTTGTGCCTCAGCCTCCCATGAAGCTTGGAATTACAGGTGCATGCCACTACCTCCTGGCTAATTTTTTTAGTTTTAGTAGAGATGAAGTTTCACCATGTTGGCCAGGCTGGTCTCAGACTCCTGACCTCAGGTGATCGCCTGCCTCAGCCTCCCAAAGTGCTGGGATTACAGGCATGAGTCACCGTGCTTGGCCTAAGTCAGCAGCTTTCTGGCTGATGCAATTAAATGCATACATGGCGCAATGCGGTTAGGAATCAAGAACAAACAACTGAGAAACAGAAATACATTTGAAGATTAAAGCCCACTTCTGAACAATCCGTGGTCCAAAGAAGAAATCAGAGGTAGAAATTAAAATACGCTTAGAACTGAATGATGATGTGTCTCTCGGACGCATGTCGAGTGTTCCTGAGTGGCTGGAGCTGCTTCTGGGTGAGTGGGTTTCTGGCTTGGAGGGAGAGGTCTGCAGAGCTCTCAGACTTGTCTGTGGAGTGTGGTGGCGCTTCTGCCCGAGCAGAGGTCAACCCTCGCAGGTCACTTAGAACTGGATGCCAGGCTCTCCCTGTGGTTTCTTGTCTTGCTGATGTTTTGGATCAAGATTGTTTGGCTTAAGCTGAACTTTGAGAGCAGTAGCCCTTGCGGCCATGCCACAGGTTGGCCGGTTGCCCTCGACCTCAGTTCTTTGAGCAGCCGGCGTCTTCAGCACCACAGGATGAGCCTCGCTGGGGTGGCCTCTTATCTCGAGCAGTGCAGGAGGCATTTCGGTGATGTGATCCTGTTCCTGTGTGTGTGGCCCCAAATGACAGAGGGCCTGAGGTTAGAAGTGTCTAATCGTTATACCCTTGAGTGTAATGTTGTTCTCTGAGCACAAAGGGAAGTCTTCATGGTTGTTTCTCATTTTCTATTATTATTTTCTCAACTCTGCTTGAGTGGTGAATGTCATGGAAATGCACTTTTCCCCACAAGTGTGCATGTGGGTCTTGGGTGGGAATTGTGAACTCTGCTGTGAGGCAGCAGCTGTGCTCCATGAGCCCCGTTCTGGGATGGAGCAGGCTTGAAGAGAGGAGGTGTGTCAGGGGCTATGCTGGGTTGTGGCTGTTCCCTGGGCCCTGTCCTGGCCTGTCTCTAAGGCCCCCTGGGCCCCGCTGGTTTGGAGGTTGTGTCCCACGGTGGGCTGTGGTCACCGTTTCCAGAAGAAACTCCAAGAGGACAGAGTTCTGACCTTGGAGAGAAGTGTGGTGCTCTTCTCCACACTGGGACAGCTTCTGCCCCAGCCTGGTTCTGCTGTGGGTTGGGCCACCTGGAGGGGGCCGCGTCCCTCCTGCCCGTCTCTGCTCTGTTTCGTTGAATGACAGTTCATGGAGCTGGAAGCAGTGCCTTCTTGTCTGCTTTCTGACAGCCCTGCCCCAAACTCATCAGGAACTTTTTGCAGCCGTTTTCCGTGTGGAGTGGGCCTTGTGGCCTTGTTTTCTGGGGCAGGAGTAAGAATCACATGGTGTGGGGAAAATGAGAGATGCTTTTGCCTTGGGGACTCAGGTCTCAAATTGTGGCTGTGTCACTGCCCTGTGACATGGCTTCTTTCCTGTGACATCCTTGCAGGGTGGGCTTCGATGGCGAGAATCCTGGGGACGACGGGCAGGCGCACAAGGGGCTGTCGGAGCGAAGCCAGGCGGTCGGCGCGGTGCTCAGCCTCCTGCTGGTGGCCCTCACCTGCTGCCTGCTGGCTCTTCTGCTCTACAAGAAGGAGAGGAGGTGAGCGGGGGGTGGGGCGAGGGGACAGGCAGGCAGGTGCATGCCTCCCACATCTAATCATAGGCTCAGTTTTGTGGGTTTTAATTTTACTTACTTATTTGTTTGAGCTCTACAACAGCAAAAGGCTCAAGATTCTTAGTTCAAAACTCTCTGGAAGCAGTCTCCAGCATTGTGGTTTTAAATGCCTGCATTTCTCTCTGACCAAGGCCGAGGCCCTTGCACAGCACCTATGCCTGCGGCTTCTAGGACCGTGGTCCTTTGTGTCCAAAGATGGGTAGAACGTTAAATGGCACCTTTCATGAGTGCATTTTCCCACTGAGCAGCTCATCCCTCTGCCCTCCCACGTCATAAAAGCAAGAGTTTATTAAGCGCCTGCTGTGTACCAGCTATGGTGCCATCTTTTTGCCCCACTTTGCTGGGTGCAAGGACACCCCACATGACTGTCAAGCAGATTTTCATATCAGGTGTCAGTGATCGTGGCTCTGGCCTGGGGGCAGGGACTTGCCAGCTCAGATGTTCCCTGCTGCCACTGTCATTTGCCAGCTGAGCCACAGGCCCATGAGAGAGGTGGTCGGGGAGTACTAATCATGGCCCTGCACACCCACATTGCAGAATGGGCAGAAGAAGGTCTGGGCCGGGAAGGCATGTGATGAGCATCTCTGTGCAGGCTTAGGGGCAGCAGGCAGGTGTGGTCCTGTTAGAGTCGTATGTGAAAAAGCCCTTGCCCAAATGTTAAATTGCTCTTGAGCGTTTTCCCCTGTTGGATTCCAAAGCCCAAGGTCTTTCCACTCAATCACAACAAATACATTAGGGTATAACCCTGTCACAGCTGCTCACTTGTCATTCAGAATGTCCATTAACCTGTGCTTGTGGGAGAAATGCAGCTGACACCAGCCTTCTGGTGGTGCAGAGTGGGGCGGTGCTGGTGGGGGCAGGGCTCCTGCCCACACTTCCTCTACCCTGGAGTAATTATGGTTTCCTTTTTTTTTTTTTAATAGGGAAACAGTGATAAGTAAGCTAACCACTTGCTGTAGGAGAAGTTCCAACGTGTCCTACAAATACTCAAAGGTAATTTTCTGTGGAGTCTCCTGAGGGGCTGCCTCCCCCGCCTCCCGTGCTGGGCTGTCCGTGTTCTCATCAGGAATGCCGAGGAGAGCAGTCACAGGCAGGCTGGAATCCAGAAGGGAAAGCATCACCCATTGCCTCAGCCGCTTAGCCCAGCACATGTTTTTTGTTATTTTTTTCCTACAAAGTTTCTCTCATTGTGGTTGCAGCTAATTTCCTTTGGGGTGTTTAATATTTAGGTTGTTTCCACTGTTTTTGGCTGTTCCTAAAAAAACACACGTGATAGTGAAGATAGTTGTGCACCTAGCATTTGGACGATTTGTTTCCGATAAATTTCCAGAAAAGAGGCATCATCTGGGTCAAAGGACATAAAGTCTGTGGGTCTCGATGAGTGTTGACTAATTGCTTTCTCAAACGAGGCTTTTGACTCGAGTCCCTTCTTTGACTTTCCTCCCTGCCATGCAGGGGGCACCTTTCAGTCAATGAGACACCTGGCAGAGCCCCTTCTCATTTAGCACTGCTGATAGGTCACTGGTCTGCTTTTCGGGTCCATGCCATCCTGAATGCCTTCTGCATGGTCCCACCGTTGGCTGTGAGAATCCTGCCAAATGGCCCCACTGCCACCGTCCCAAACCCTCCTGCCTTGGTGCAGTCTCATTAGGAACAGGAAGGTGTTGCCTGCCCTTGTCTTCCTTTCCCTGGTGGGGACCTGGGAACCGTGAGGACAGTGTGCCAGATCCTCCCCAGCTCGTGCCAGCAGAGAGCATCCCTGATGTGGGGTGGATGGTGGAAAGAGAGTAAGAGAGGAGCAGAATGGGGTCTCTGAGGGGGGTCATGTGGTCTCTGCTATTGATCCCTGGCAGGTGAACAAGGAAGAAGAGACAGATGAGAATGAAACAGAGTGGCTGATGGAAGAGATCCAGCTGCCTCCTCCACGGCTGGGGAAGGAAGGGCAGGAGAATGGCCATATTACCACCAAGTCTGTGAAAGCCGAGGCCCTCAGCTCCTTGCATGGGGATGACCAGGACAGTGAGGATGAGGTTCTGACCATCCCAGAGGTGAAAGTTCACTCGGGCAGGGGAGCTGGGGCAGAGAGCTCCCACCCGGTGAGAAACCCGCAGAGGAACGCCCTTTGGGAGCGTGAGGATGATAGGGCGGGGCTGGTCAGGGGTGAGAGGGTGAGGAAAGGGAAGCCCAGGTCTGCACAGCAGAAGACAGTGAGCTCCACCAAGCTGGTGTCTTTCCATGACGACAGCGACGAGGACCTCTTACACATCTGACTCCGCAGTGCCTGCAGGGGAACACAGAGCCGTGAGACAGCCAAGCACCTCCAACCAAATAAGACTTCCACTTGACGATGCTTCTGTAGTTTGCCTTTAACAAAAACTATTTCAAAAGGGAAGAGTTTTTGTGATGGGGGAGAGGGTGAAGGAGGTCAGGCCCCACTCCTTCCAGATTGTTTACAGTCGTTGGAATAAGGCATGGCTCAGATCGGCCGCAGGGCAGGACCTCGTGCCCAGGGTTTTGCCCAAGTCCTCATTTAAAAGCATAAGGCCGGACGTGTCTCCAGACAGGGGCTGCATTTGAAAAACCCTTGCTGCTTTAGGCCCGATAGGGTATTTGACCCCATTATATTTGAGCATTTTAATTCTCTCCTCCTATTTATTGACTTTGACAATTACTCAGGTTTGAGAAAAAGGAAAAAAAGAAAAACAGCCACAGTTTCTTCCTGCCGGCACGGGTGTAATGCACCGGTTTGTCCATCCCGAAACAGCGAGGCTGTCAGTGTGCGGGACGGTCTCCGGTGGGATTTTGAACTGGTCATTAATGTGTCCCCTGAGTTGGAGCTTATTCTCTTTTCTCTTTTGCTTTTTGTTTCTTAAGGGTGTATACACGTGCGTACAGGCGCACACGCACACGCGCACACACACGGGGTCCCTGAGTGCCTGGGTTTTGGAGAGTTCACTGTTCTATGCCTTTAGTCAGGAACGGCTGCAGCTTTTTGCATGACCTCTTCAAGCCTGGGTGTACAGAGCACATTTGTCAGTATTTCTTTCGCTGGCTGGTGAATTCAAACAACCTGCCCAAAGATTGGTGTGTGTGTGTGTGTGTGTGTGTGTGTGTGTGTGTGGAGTTGAGGTGTCAGAGAAAATGAATTTTTTCCAGATTTGGGGTATAGGTCTCATCTCTTCAGGTTCTCATGATACCACCTTTACTGTGCTTATTTTTTTAAGAAAAAAGTGTTGATCAACCATTTGACCTATAAGAAGCCTTAATTTGCACAGTGTGTGACTTACAGAAACTGCATGAAAAATCCCGGGCTAGAGCCTGGGCCCTAGCGTTGCACTTGGCCTCATGCTGGAGGGAGGCTGGGCAGGCACAGCGTGGAGGCGGAGGGAGGCGGTGCTGGTGTTCTTCCTCTGGCAGCAGCGCCTTTCCTGCCATGTTGAGTGAATGACGTTTCTCGCGTTGTAGAATTGTCTGTAGAATCAGTGTCTGACGCTGAGAAGCAAACCTCCCCACAGCATCCCTTGGCCTGTACCAGTTTGGCTGGCTTGTTTGATTTCAACATGAGTGTATTTTTTAAAATTGATTTTTCTCTTCATTTTTTTTCAATCAACTTTACTGTAATATAAAGTATTCAACAATTTCAATAAAAGGTAAATTATTAATTGGGTGTTACCGTTTTTTCCTCGATAGTGAGACGTTCCCCAGTGAGTTGCCGGGCTGCCTGCCCATCTTTCCTTCCTGTTGAGTGACTGGGTTTGGGTTTTCACGCTGGTGTTCTCATTGACCTTTTATGAGGCAGCACTTCCATTTTTCTCTGGAGTCTCCTGGTTGTAGTCGTTAACTCTGGGTCCAGGCTGCCTCCCTCGGCTCTTTCTAGATCTGATTTCTTTACCTTCTCCAGGCCAGCCTCGGGGTGTGTCCTGTTCATCATGGAGTTTAGAGTCCAGTGAGACAGTAAAGCTTTTTGGTATGCAACCTAATCTAATATGGGGAGGTTGTCTCTTGAATAAATGCACTGAGTCTTCCATCTTAAATTCCTCACCAGTGGCTGAGAGCTGCCTGTATGTTAACCTGGAAGCAGAAGATTCCTCCAGTGTTAAAAACAGACTTAGACTCAACATCCTAGCCTCCATCTCTTCCCCCTTCCCCCTCCCATAGAGTTCTCACTTTTCAATTATCCAATTGGAGTTACCTTTTTAAAAAAGTTACTCTTAAGGGCTTTAAAATACATGTCCTGAGGAGGGCATGTTGGGGTGTTCTAAAAGTTTACATTATGACCAAAGAGTCGCTGGTTCTCAGGCATTCTACCCAGGGGGTTTTCTCCAGGCCATTCCCATCTCCTTCTAAGGCCATGGGGAGCCCTCTCTGTAAGGAGGGCATATGCAGGGACCTGGCCGTCCCCTTGGTCAGCTGGATGGCAAAGAGGCGTGTCGTCTGCACCACTGGCTGCCTGCTAATGTCGCTCTCAGTGGGGAAAGAGAAGTGACGACATCTTTGAGTGCATTTGCTTTGACTTAAAAACCCAAGCCTCTGAAAAAAGAGTAACTATTTGCCAGCTGTTGTTACAGATGATATTTTTAGGGAAAGATGCCCTGACAGCAAATCAGAATTGGACTCTTTTCAGAGAAAGGATTTTATTGATAGAGTACGACCTTGGTATTTAGTTTCCTTTTAACATTTTCTGTGCCCCTTTTTTGAGACTGTCCATGAAAGGCAGAGATATGGAATAAGAATTGGGGTGCTAAGGATGGAATAGGCAAACCCCACGCCAAGGAAATCCATGGTAAAGAGGAGATCTGGTTCTTAGGAACATTTGAACAGCGTGTGAAGCCTGTACTTCACCAGCCCTAAAATAATACATGACGTGAGGTGATTCCTCAGGAGGAACGCTGGCCACCTGGTGATTGAAGAGTACTTTGGGCTGGTGCAAGTTAAAGGACTGATGGGGACATAGGTCTTGCCCCTCTTGGCGATCGGGTCACAAGGAGCCAGTGTATGTGTCACTGGGAGGTGCTATGGATGAGACTGGATTTCTGGAAATACCCTTTACCAACTTCGGAAGAATCCCATGGCTCAGGGAGGTGCACTCATGCCCTTTCTTAATTCTCGGGCTCCACTCTGTTGACTCATAGTGAGTTGGCCTCTTGTGCCCTTAAGCCAAACTTGCTGTCAGTTCTGGACATTGTTTTGTGAGTATGAGGTCAACTGGCAGAAGTGGTGCAGGTGAGCTGTGGGCACAAGGTGACAAGATAGCCATGCTGAGTTTGGGGACAAAGTGGCCCAGGGATGTTGTGTAGGTAAGGCAGAAGCAAACCCAGAACTTGGAGCGTGCTGTGACTTGCAGTAAGGAGTTTGAACTTGTCCTGAAAGCAGATGAGAGCCATGGGAGGACCAGATTGGCTTTTGAGAAAGATAGTCTAGAAGAAAGTAAAGAGATGGAGACGCTTCTCCATCCAGATGGGAGGTTGGGCATGGGAGCCGTGGCTGTGCCAAGCTGAGAAGCCTTAGACTCTGCCTGCAAGCCTCTCTCTGGGAGGAAGTCAGGTCTTCTTCTTAAAGAGAGGTACAGACTGAAGTTAGGCTGTGAATGGTCAGTTATTTGTATTTCTTTACCTCTTAATGCTATTTTGTAGTTTGACCAGTTTGCAAATCAAATTGAATAAAAAGTAATTGATAATGTCATTTCGATGCTCAAAATGAACCTTGAACAGTGTTTGAGGGAAACACAGTCTAGTGAGTGGAGTTACTGGTTGTCACACCTGGGAGGGTAAAACGAGGGGCTCACACCCCAGGTGAGGTCATCTGGTGCCACTCAGCACCATCCTGGAGAAAACAGCCATGGGACGCTGGCCTTGGTGACAACCAAGAAGTGGTGGCAGGTTGCTAGAGACAGGGTGGAGCACAGTGCCCCAGAAGGAAGCGGGAGCTCAGGTTCAAGAAAGGACTCGTGACCTCGCCCTTGGCTTCAGGGTTTTATTTTTCTTTCTTTTAAAACATTTTGAGACAACATACAGACATCTGAACTTACAGGACAATTCTTTTTCCCTGAATCCTTTGAGACTAAGTTCCCTCCCATCCATCACCAGGCATTCCTACAGACGGGGACCTTCACATGACTAAGATGCCACCATCAAAACCATGATGTGTGGGAATGGTACTGCCAGCTAAGCCTCAGTGCTGCTCAGGTGTTGACAGTTGTGACAGTGCTGCCCTTTCCAGTCGAGGAGCCTGTGATAGTCACGTTTTGCATTTGATCACCACGCCATTTGGTTTACTTCTGTCTGGAAAGTTTCTCCTTTCTGTAACTTCCGGGACCATGACACACGAGGTCACTCTTCTCACCTGTCCCACCTCTGGGGAGGGGTGGGGTGCCTGCTTTGCTCTGCCCCACCCAGTGGCTTTAGGACTCAGCTGTTGAGGAACAACAAGGGAGAGGGCCCTTGGGTCTAACTGCAGAAATCATACTTGAACTAGAAAATCTTGTTGGCATAGGTATGGATTGTCATATAGCAACGTTTCCCAAAGTGTGCCCCGTGGAACACATGTTCCCTATGATGTTAACAGATGTTCTGCCAAAAATGAAAAGGACCAGTGCTCTAGTAAGTCTGGGAAATAATTAAAGTGAAACAGCTTTGCTTGGCATGAGACCTCTCAGAGTCTTTAAAGGAGAATTGCTGAGCACACATGAAATCACAGTAGAAAACAGCCAGCAGGCCTCCAGGTATGCAGCAATTCCTAGACATTTGCCCGTGTTCCCTGGGGGACCTGGTGGCCTGTGGACCATGCACAGGAAATTCCCTCCTGTAGTGAGGGTCTGCTGTTTTCCAGGGGCTCCCATGGAGCACGCTAGATGGGTGGTCTGTGTGAGACTACACCATTGATGAGCAGTGAGGCCCAAACAGGTATGTGTGTATATATAAACAAACGCTCAGCACCACTGATCATCAGGGAAAAGCACATCATAAACAGTTACCGCTTCACACCTGCTAGAATGGCTGCTGTCAGAAAGACAAATGATAGCAAGTGTGGGTGAGGACGTGGAGAAAAGTGAACACTTGTCCACCTTTGGTGGGACTGTAAATTGGTACAGCCATTATGGAAAAGAAGTTCCTCAAAAAAATTGAAAATGGAGCTACCAGCCATCCCACATGTGGGTGTGTATCCAAAAGAAATGACGTCAGTGCCTTGAAGCGATCTCTGCAGCCCCTGTTCATCGCAGTATTATTCACAACAGCCAAGATAGGGAAACAGTCTCAGTGTCTACTGACAAATGAAGAAAGATGCATAAAGAAAATTATGTGTGTGTGTGTGTGTGTGTACACACACAGTGGAACACTAAGTCTTGAAAAAGAAGGAAATCCTGTCATTTGTGACAACATGGATGAGCCTGGAGAACGTTATGCTAAGTGAAATAAGCCAGACACAGAAAGAAAAATACCGCATGATCTCACTTAGATGTGGAATCTAAAAAGGCTGGACTCAGAAGCAGAGAGAGGAATGCTGGTTACCAAAGGCTAGAGGTGTGGGAAATGAGCAGATGTTGGTGAAAGAGTACAGAGGTGCAGATGTGCTGCATGAGTGAGCTCCGGAGACCCGCCGTGCAGCATGAGTGAGCTCCGGAGACCTACTGTGCAGCATAAGTGAGCTCCGGAGACCTGCCGTGCAGCATGAGTGAGCTCTGGAGACCTACTGTGCAGCATAAGTGAGCTCCGGAGACCCGCCGTGCAGCATGAGCGAGTTCCAGAGACCTACTGTGCAGCCTAAGTGAGCTCGGGAGACCCGCTGTGCAGCATGAGTGAGCTCTGGAGACCCACTGTGCACCATTAGTGAGTTCTGGAGACCTACTGTGCAGCATAAGTGAGCTCTGGAGACCTGAGACCTACTGTGCAGCATGAGTGAGCTCTGGAGACCTGCTGTGCAGCATGAGTGAGCTCTGGAGACCTGTGCAGCATGAGTGAGCTCTGGAGACCTGCTGTGCAGCGTGAGCGAGCTCTGGAGACCTGCTGTGCAGCATGAGTGAGCTCTGGAGACCTGCTGTGCAGCATGAGTGAGCTCTGGAGACCTGCTGTGCAGCATGAGTGAGCTCTGGAGACCTGTGCAGCGTGAGTGAGCTCTGGAGACCTGCTGTGCAGCATGAGTGAGCTCTGGAGACCTGAGACCTGCTGTGCAGCATGAGTGAGCTCTGGAGACCTGAGACCTGCTGTGCAGCATGAGTGAGCTCTGGAGACCTGAGACCTGCTGTGCAGCATGAGTGAGCTCTGGAGACCTGAGACCTGCTGTGCAGCATGAGTGAGCTCTGGAGAACTGCTGTGCAGCATGAGTGAGCTCTGGAGACCTGCTGTGCAGCATGAGTGAGCTCTGGAGACCTGCTGTGCAGTATGAGTGAGCTCTGGAGACCTGAGACCTGCTGTGCAGCATGAGTGAGCTCTGGAGACCTGCTGTGCAGCATGAGTGAGCTCTGGAGACCTGCTGTGCAGCATGAGTGAGCTCTGGAGACCTGCTGTGCAGCATGAGTGAGCTCTGGAGACCTGCTGTGCAGCATGAGTGAGCTCTGGAGACCTGAGACCTGCTGTGCAGCATGAGTGAGTTCTGGAGACCTGTGCAGTATGAGGGAGCTCTGGAGACCTGCTGTGCAGCATGAGTGAGCTCTGGACACCTGAGA